TAAATTACAAAATATTAATGAATGGCACCGAAAATTCTATTAGTGTAAGAAAGAAAAAGAAATAAATTACCATACTAATTGGTAATTAAGGTGCTAAAGAATGGACCGGATTGATACAGCTTGAAGCCTAAAACTAGGTTCTGCAATTTCCAGCAGTCAATTATTAAGGTTTCTTATATTAAATTTTAATTGTCTTAACTACATTAGTGCGCATATCGACACAACAAAAAATATTTATTGCAAGCGTCACTGACATTAATTAACTCATATATACTTCAAAATTAAAAATAAATCAGTTCCGACGTGGCATTTTTGTAACATTTTTTGCATATCACAATGTTTATATATCGGCCTAAATATTATTTTGACCGTCATATGATGCGGATTTACAAAGTGAGAATAAAAGATACGAATTTTATTAGTTAGGAATTTGTACAAGCCGAGCTCGTCTGTTTTGGAAGGCTTGAGCCCAAACTCGCATAAGCTTCGAACTTGAGCTCGAGCTTTAGTCGAGTCAACTAGGTTAAATTACGGTCATCCATTGATGTAATGTCAAATTATGAAAAAAAAAAACAATTTCTTCCATTGAGAGAGTGGTTGTAACAAAAAGAGTTTTTCATAATTTGACTTTATCTTAGAAAGGTGGCCGTAATTTGCCAAGCACTAATTTACGTATGTAAATTACCAACATGTATATAGATCAAAGAACCCCTGACGATTGGAGCAAGTGAGTTTATGTCAATTGAATCAAGTTCGAACCCTCAAACTTGTCATACATGGTTAGTAGCGTAATGTAATTTACGTCTCTCGTTTGATTGATTACGCGAGTGTAGATTTATCCAAATGCATCCACGTGATTGACTTTAGATTCTTAAAAAAAAAAAAGAGAAAAAAAAAAGAATCTTTATGTTTTGGTGAAACTTTTATTACATCCCCAATTCCCCTTTTCGATAATACCTATAATAAAGTGAATAAATCCACGATACCTTTACAAAATTCAAGAAAAAAGCATTAAATTCCCTAGAAAAAAATGTCAGTAACAAAATTTTGTACCATCTTCTGATTTTTGCATATCTTTTAACTTATGTTATAATCCATAATAAATAAATAAAAAACACTATCAGATTTTCTCCAATTTTTTTAAATCAGATACTAAAATTCTGTACTCAGTAACAAATGCTAGGAATTAATAAAGTTGGCTAGTATAATAAATAAATGAAAGTATACTAAGAATGGTGGGCGGTGGCGCTAATAGAAACCCAAAGGCAACGATTTATACCTAAAATCGCTAAAACCAAAACGCGTTTTCCAAACATTAATTATTTTAGAATTTAGAGAGAGAAAACTAACATGCATGGTTTCAGACACATACCAAACCTTTTTTAATTCCAACAGAAAATTAAATCAGTTAACACAGTGCTGCAGTATTTCCATGCATATATATATAAACACACGCATTGATGCATGGTGCATATACATATATATACATATGTGTATCTATATGTAGAGAGAGAGAGAGAGATCTAGAGAGAGAGGGGGGGCTTTTGATAGTTGTAGATAAGGACGTAATCTGGTAAAGAAAAAATTAAAGTAAGTGTTGTATTTTTGGTTCTATATAAACCACCCACAATTCCTTACTTCTTTTTTCATCACTCTCTCAACAAACCAACTCATCTTTTCTTGAATATATAATATAATATTCATTTTCTTTTCTTTTTTCCTTTTTTTTTTATTGTAAGATATTAATTTTTCTGTTGGGAATAAAAAAAATAATAAATATTCAGTATTCATGGGTAAAGAGAAGATCCTGCATTTGGTGTTTGGAATCTTTGGTATGTTGATTTCATTAATAAGTGTCATGCTGCATGCATATATATGCTAGTATTACTACATTAATCTTAATTAATTAATTAATTAATTAATCTTGTACTTTCTTGAATTTATTACCATTTTATTTTTTCTGTGTTGTTTTCATGTAATTTTCAAACAGGAAATGCCACGGGTTTGTTTCTGTTCTTGGCTCCAACGTTAGTACTACCGATTTTTTTTCATTTTTGTTTTAATTTTTATTAGCTGTATAATTCACAAAATGATCAGGAATTTAACTTTATTACCAAATATATTAATTTTGAGTATACTTAACATTTATTATATTATTTAACTTAATTGCTACAAAAATTTAAAAGGGTTACATTCAAGAGGATCATCACCAACAAATCGACCGAGCAATTCTCCGGCATACCCTACGTCATGACCTTGCTCAATTGCTTGCTCGCCGCTTGGTAATTAATTAATTAATTATCGACAAAATTACATAAAACTATTTAATTTTAACTAATTAATTAATTAAATGTACATGCAGGTACGGTATGCCGTTCATATCACCAAACAACGTCCTAGTATCGGCTATAAACGGCACTGGAGTGGTGATCGAGTCGATTTACGTGCTTATATTTCTCATATACGCACCTAAAAAGGAGAAGGGCAAGATCTTAGGGCTTCTACTTTTGATTCTCGCAATATTTACGACGGTAGCCCTGGTCTCGATTCTCGCCTTTCGCGGACACGACAATTTAAAGAAGCTGTTTTGTGGTATAGCTGCTACATTATTCTCCATCATAATGTATGCTTCTCCTCTATCTGTCATGGTAAGTATCTCTAATTAAATTACTTTTTTTTTGCCAAATTTTACTAATTAATTAATTAATTACTAGTATTTAAATTAATGATTTTTATTTAATGTGCAGAGGCTGGTGATTAAAACCAAGAGTGTGGAGTATATGCCTTTTTTGCTGTCACTGTTTGTTTTCCTGTGTGGTACTTCTTGGCTGATTTATGGTTTAATTGGGAAGGACATGTTTATTTATGTAAGTTTTTAAATAATTTTGTCACTAAATAAACTTTATTTGGAATTGGAGAAAAAAAATTAGTGACCACTTTATTTATTTAATTGGTTAATTATATATTTAATATATTTTTTTTTTTTGCAGATTCCAAATGGATTTGGGTGCTTATTGGGAACAATGCAGCTATGTATATACGCAATTTACCGCAATAAAAAAGGTGAAATCAAGAAATTACCGTCTGCGGAAATGGGCCTTGCTAAATCCAATTATTTTCAGAATGGACAATCCTAATTAATTTTAATTAATTTTAATTTCCATCCAGTTTAAGAAAATATTCTGCATTTAGTATTTTGTTGTTGTTGTTTCTTTTTGGTGTTTTTATGGTTAATGGATATAATAATTTTGTACTTTTAATTATAATCTTATTTTATTTTGTTACTATATAGTTTCTCATGTTTTGTGTATAAATAAATAATCTCCTTTTTTGCCTATATGGTTAATAATAATAATAAAATAAAATAAAAATTGGTATGGGCCTTGAGGAAAGGAAGCCCAATAAAGAAGCCCAAGTAATCCTCGAGAGATCTGCAAAAAAAGACTGTGAGGAAAAGTATTTCTCGGCGTCAGCACTCCGACGATCAAGTCAGTCGGTATCGTACGGGAATGGGGAAGAAATTGATTTGTGATTTGTTGGGCCCAATTTCATTCCCTGAAGCCAGCTGTCGACCCGACCCGTTTATGGTGTACAACGCTGACGTGGAAATGTGGCTATAATTAATTGTAATTTGACTATAAATAATAATAATAATAATAAAAATATTGAGAAAATGTAGGTATGTAGAAAAATGGATTCATCTGAATACTCACTCATATCACCGCTGCAATAAATACGTAAATTACCTTAATTCTAAGGCACTGAATTGTCACTTCAACATTAATAAATTAAACTAATTCGTACCCTACATATAGATATTTGTAATTATATTCTCTCATAAATGACAATTATTATTAAATAATCACAAATTAAGCTTCTTGCCTTTTTATTTTTGAAAGCACAAAAAAAGCTTAATTCTACTTCATACATAATTAATATAGTTGTTCATTTAATTTATTTTTTTTTCTTTTCTTGTTTACTTTTTGGAAGAAAAAATGTAGTTCAATTTTGTGCAATCAATTCTTGAACAACAAATTATGAATAATGAAGAGAGAGCCCTTGTCTTGAGGGTACGTAATGTAAACGTAACATTTAAATACCCTTGAATGCTATCTATTTTCCCCATTTTTTATGTTACATCTCTACCCGATTGCGATTGTCCAATGCATTTTTATGCCTGATGATCCATATATTTGGATAAATTATGTAAATACCCCTGAATTTAAGTTGAATTATCAAAAACACTTCAACCGATCCGTTATTATCAAACCCCCTCGACATTTGTTTCCCCTCAACAATGGTGTGATTTTTCACCGACTTTTTGGATTCCAGGGAATACTTTCCGAGAAATGCCAATTCTTTATGCTACTTTTTAACGACAAAAATTACCGTCATAGTGGTAATGACAATTTTAAAAATTCCTTGGCATCAAACAAGTTCCATATAAAACCACGTGAGGGGTGATTGTAAGATGAAAACAAATCAGTAGGATTTTGATACTTACAGGTAGGTGGGGCGGGTATTTTAACCGAAGTTTAGGAGAATTTCGTAATAAACCCTTTTATTTTTTTATTTTTTTTTTTAATTCATTTATTGATGAGGAAAAAAAAGTAAATTGAATTAGGTTTCCACACGGCTCATATGGTAGACACATGTTGTTTTCAAAATTAAAGAAAACCAAATGGATGCAAAAGGAGATTTGATAATGAAACATCCACCACCTATTTTGATAAGAGCCATTCATTAATTAATTATAATAATAATAATTAATAATTATATTATACAACACAACACTCTTTGATATTACTTGTGTGGATGCTTCTACCTATTTAATTAGCTTCTCCCCAATCTAAGTTAGATTAATCATTAATTCTTTGCAAAATTTCCTTAAAATTATATTTATTACTAATAAGAATTCAATACTTAAATAATATATATTGCATGAGTGTAGATACAAAAACAAGTGGATTAGACATCTAAACACAGTCTTAGATAAGTGTTTTACTTTAATTGACGAGTATTAGATGACGAAATGATTGAGTTGACATAGATAATTGTCTCCTCAATTTTTATAATATTTAATGTAAAATTGACTGAACTTTTAAAATATAATCCCCATATATTTTTGTCCATTGCTTCTAAAATAATGTTACTAAATGAATGATTTACCGGTTGCACGTGTATGGAACATTTATAAATTAATAAGTTTGTTTAAATAATAATTTGTTCGAACTTTATAGAAGAACACTATGATATAAATTATTTCGCTGGATTAATAGGATTTTGTTGATTTCGACTGTATTAATTATAATTGTTGTAACTTTATATAAAATTTGATGTACAAAGAAACAAATTGAAGAAATATACAATATTGGCAAGAGCTATCAGATATATGACACGTTGCTTATTTTAGGGCATGTGTGCATTTTGCTTTGTCCCAAGAATTAAAAGATAGGCATGAATTCACCAACAATTTTGCACTATTAAAAACTGAGAAAATAAATAAATAATCCTATTGTTATTTGTTAGTTATGAATTATGACGTCATTTGAAGGCAAAACAGCAGCAGTTAATATGATTTTGATCATGCAACTGCCTACAAACTAACAAACAGGATATTCCATTCTCCACACCTACTTAACGTTTAATCACACTCCATAATTTAACCCACCCAACAAATTCTTCAAAATTGTAACAAAAAAAAAATAAATTAAAATTACAAAATGTGGGACAATGATTGATTAAACAGGACCCCGTGAGTGTGTGTATATATTGAGAATCAAGAGATTTTAGGTTTACAGAACGTGACGGAAGCAAAAAGCTACAGTTCTGCTCCACGTTAAAATAGTACAAATAAATTTCAAATAATTACTTTTTAACCCCTCCTATATCTTTCTTTCACGCTTTTTTTGCCTGCCCATTTTCCTGTTATATATATGTGCAGTGTAGTCATACAGAGTAGGCGTTCTTCATAAGAGAAGAAGAGTGTAGAGAGAGAGTAGAGAGAGAGAGAGAGAGAAGGGGGTGAAAAAGATTCGATTTTTATCTGGTTTTTGATTAGGGTTCTTACGTTACACACTGATTTGTTGAAGGCATGGAGAATGTGCTGCACTTTGTTTTCGGCATTTTTGGTGGGTTTTCCCTTTTCCCTAATTTCTTGAGCTCTCTCTCTCTCTCTCTCTCTCTCTCTCTCTCTCTCTGATATGTTTTTGTTGTTCTTAACAGGAAATGCTTCTGCTCTGTTCCTTTTCTTGGCGCCATTGTAAGCCTTCTTCTCAATCTCATGAAAACAATTTGTGTGTGTGTGTGTGTGTGTGTGTGTGTGTGTGTGTGTGTTTATAAGTTTTCAGAAAGTGTTGAAAGTTAAAAGTGGAGTTACCATTTTAGTGTAGAGATTGCAGTTTGATGGTCATTTTGTAGTATTTTTAATTTTATTTTTATATATTTTAATTTTTTTAAATGAAATTTACAGTATGAAATTGTGTTATTGATTAATTAGGATAACATTCAAAAGAATTGTGATGAACAAGTCCACTCAGCAATTCTCTGGAATCCCATATGTCATGACCTTGCTCAACTGCCTTCTCTCTGCTTGGTATTAATCAATTCTTCATTTAAATAATAATTAAAAATTTCTCCAACTCTTGATTTTTATTTTAATAATTGGATAGGTATGGGCTGCCCTTTGTGTCACCGAATAACCTGCTCGTGTCGACAATAAACGGGACTGGCGCTGTTATAGAATCCGTTTACGTGATAGTATTTCTCGTTTTTGCACCGAAAAAGGAGAAGGCGAAAATGCTTGGACTGCTGAGTGTCGTCCTTACTATTTTCGGAACTGTCGTGTTGGTTTCTCTGTTAGTTCTCCACGGAAATGGGAGGAAGCTCTTCTGCGGTGTTGTAACTACTATCTTCTCGATCGTTATGTACGGTTCACCGTTGACAATCATCGTACGTTCTTAATTCATCCCTTCCTTTCGATTCGTCCTCTGTTTTTTTTTTTTTTTAATCTAATTGTATGAGTTGTGTTCGTAATTGAAAAGGGTGAGTTGAGATGTAAGCAAGAATCTTGTTTTTTCGGTGAATATTAATTTAATTAATTAAAAAATAAAATAAAATGCAGAGGTTGGTGATCAAGACGAAAAGCGTGGAGTTCATGCCGTTTTTCCTATCATTGTTTGTGTTTCTGTGTGGTACTTCGTGGTTTGTGTTTGGCCTACTTGGGAAGGACCCTTTTGTTGCTGTAAGTTGTTACGACTTTTTTCGTCGTTTAATTTTCGTCGAATAATTATGGGGGAATTCACTATTTAGTATATAAAAATGCAATCTTTTTGTTTTTTTTTGGGCAGATTCCGAATGGGTTCGGGTGTGGATTAGGGGCTGTGCAGCTGATACTTTACGCGATATACCGAAAAAACAAAGGGGAGATCAAGAAACAGACAGGTGAAGAATCGGTGGAGATGGATAAGATTGGCAATGGCAAAACCGAGCAACAGAAACAAGATGAACAAGTCTAGTTCGGAAAAATAACGTGTTTGGTTACAGGGATAGCTTTAACCCCCGGATTCTGATTCTTCGTTCGTTCGCTCGCTGTGTTCGAATTTGAACTTGTCGTTTTCGTATATCTTTTCTGTGGTAAATTTGATGTTTTCCCAGTTCATATGCTTACTTGTGACTTGTTAGTAGAATAATAATTTTGTCAATTTTCCTTGTATAATCCAATGGTTGATGAAGATAAATGCTTTGGCTTTTCTTGAATATTTTTGTCACTTTTGCATGTTAGTGAATGTTTTATTGCAAATTGATATTGTTAAGGAATTGGCTGGGGTTATATCTATTAGACTTGTGAAGTTAAAATTAACATATTATTAGTTATAAATTGTAGGGTAATTTACGGCCATCCCCTGACTACGGTTTAAATTATAAAAAAACTCCTAATGTTTAGATAATTACAACCATATTCAAATATAAATCTTCAAATATAAATCTTAAGTTTGTACCCGTTTTACGCCACTCGAACTCCACATTGTGAAACAAGATGATTATAAGATGTCTCTTTTAGTTTGTAAATATCAGATTGTGGTACACCGGAAACTATAATTTCGCACAACACGAGTACCCTAAATTGTAATATAAATTTAGTTGGTTAACTTTGGGCCAAACTCGTGGCCCAATAACATATGCATATTATTTTTGATCCTCTGTGTACACAATTTATAATTTCTTATTGTATTTGTTATTATATCTCGAATTTCATTTCATAAATGATAAAACACATTAAAAATATATTAATGACGAATGTATGTGACTGATCAGTAGCTATAGAATTTAGCAATAATTCAATAATTAGTGGGCCCATAAAAATTATTTTCCTAGGGCCTACAATGAGACTATATTATTATTAAATAAAACTTTAATTATTTAATCCTTAAATATTTGGGAGTAATGATATATTGCTATAATTTGTAAATAAATGCCAACTCCATTTTCCGAATCAACTGTAAAATAAAATTCATAACGAGTAAATTACAACTACCTCCCTGAATTAAAGACTATTTACGAAGAAACCCCTTATTAGTTTATTTATATTTTTTTATTTGCCTCGTGAATTGAATGAATATTTGGGGTTTATGGGCTGGAATCACACAAATTATTATTATTATTACTAAAAATATATAAAAACAAAATTAAATAAATGACGAAACTGGGGGGCATCTTTAGAATGTGGAGAAATTGACACCTAATCACACATTTGAGTGTGTGTGTTTGTGTGTGTGAGAGAAAGAGAGAGAGAGAGAGAGAGAGAGAGAGAGAATCTTCTTTAGAATCCGTTAAGGTGCAGGGCCGTTATCCCAAATGTCATCACTCTTCTAACAGCCGTTAATTCTTTTTTGAAGTCTGTTCCCGTATACTCCGTCATAACGGACCGTGCTTTTCCGTCAAAGGTCTTAACGGAATGTAAACATAATGGATATATAGTGCTTATGTATGGGGTGGTATGGCCATCAACCCATGGCATGGCATAATTGCCACGTGTATTAACTGGGATTTTTTTAATAATTAATTTGATATATAGTGTGTGGTTAGGGTTTTTCCTATAATAATCCAATGGCTTTCCAGCCAGCCGTATCATGTCATTACTTTGCGTAAAGTAAGTATAGACAATATGTGAAATTACTTATTTACCCTTATTGTTTTTTCCTTTATATATATACACCCTTTTTATTCACTTCTCAAATTAAATTTATGCATTTTAAAACTGTCAAATAATATTTTATTTCGTAAATGTGAACATTTTCAACAAACACTAATATGATTTGCCATTATTGAAAGAAGAAAAAGGTTAAATCGATACATATATATTCATTATGATTTTCCTTTATCTTCTACGGCAAATGTCGATCTAATGTCTAATTTCGTAAAATGACATGAAGACTGACGTGTTAGAAATACTTGATGTAATATTAAAGCCTCGTTTGGTTGAGAAGATTAACAATTATAAATGAGTAATTGGATTTTTATTTTTTATTTTTATTTTGTGTGTCTGATATCCCAATATCTTGCCGAACAGACCCCCATAAATTATGTTATCACATATTGTTTTGTCTTACCTTGTCTTTTAGAATTTTTTTTTAATTTTATGTGCAATATGTCCGATAAAACAATTGTTTTTTATTAAATTATTTAATGTTACCTTAACTAATCATATCTTAATAACCAAACAGACCTTAATAATGAAGCTAAATAATAGAAAATGCATTTGACAATCGATGGCACTTTGGTAAATAAACAGCAGACCGATGTCAAATCCAGATAGGCAAAAATATGGTGAGCTGTACAGCCTGTAATTTATTCACATTCTTCATCACCACAATCTAAAATCAAATCACACACATACATACATACATACACATACATACATGATAATAATTATAAAATAAAAAAATAATGTATCCATAAATAAATAAATAAATAATTAAATATGCGTGTTTAAAGAGAGAAGAAGAAGTTTTGACTTTGATAGACTCTAGTGAGAGAAAAGTTGAAGAAAGAATGAAATCAGAAGAGAGAGAGAAAAGAGAGAGAAAAGAATTCAATCCGATCTAATGCAAATTTGACGTCCGCAATAAAATCCCCAGAAAGCACACACTTTCTCTCTCTATCTCTTCTCTATTCATCTTTCTCTCTCTAAAAAAAAAATCTGTGCTCAATAACACCGTCGTTAATCTGCAGGAAGACTTTTTCTTCGAAAGATCTCGGTTTTTGGTTGATTACGAGGGCGAATTAATTCAATTATTTGATTAATTGATGCTTAAAAAGAAGTGTTTTTTTATTTGAAGTTCAATTGAATAGTAATTACTATTTCGTGGACTGAACAGAGCAGCTCGAAATCTCTACACTCGTGTAAGTATCTTAGTGCTCTTCGTAATTTGATTTTCTTTTTTTTTTTATTTTTTAATTTTTTGTTGTGAAAATACTTTTCACGTGGTTATGCCGTATGAGTGTGTGTTTGAGATTCAATGTTCTATTATGTATGTGTAGTACCGATTGGTTTCAGCTGTAGATCGAGTGTTTTTGCCCTTTCCTAGCTAGGGTTAGGGTTCAATCGAGTTATCTGCTTCCGTTTATTTGCTTCTTTAGTGTTATTAAATTCCCGGGTTTCTTATGTTTTTTGGCAAGTAAAGTAATTATTTCTGATGATTAGTTTTCTCATTTATTTTCTAATATATTTAATTTAATTTATTGAAGTAAAAGAGTCCACTTCTGTTTTCCCCCCTTGTAGTCTCATTCCTCAAGATTTTGTTTCTGCCGATGTTTTCCTCGTTTCCTGTTTTGCTCAGTTCTTTTTTGTAAATGGATTTATGCTGTCTGCATGATGTTATGAAATGAAGACGAGAAACCTGACTTTAATTTACTATTTTACGCAGGGATTGGTAGGGCAGGGTGTGAAATATTGTGGGTTGATTATTGGATAAGATAAAAGTTAGGATTTCTAGAGATAAAGTTGGCATCTCTTATGTCACAGATTTCGATTCTATTTTGGAAAAACACCAGCGCAACCCTCATGCATGTCCACTGTTAGTGATTTTGTAGCGTTTTTGTAGTTTTGTGAAAGTTTGAGATTAATGTTTTATTTAGGGAGTTCAATCCTTGGTGTAATAAGAGTCTTGTAATTTACAGTGTGTCGATTCTTGAATAAAAATGGTACCACAAGGGCCCCACACACCGCTTAGTGGAGGCCAGCCGAGATCAAATTCTGGGATGTTGGGTGGTCAAGGGGGTGGAAATGGAATGCCTTCGCAGAATGCATTTTCATCGTTGGCGTCGCCTCGCAATCAGTATAGTAACATGAATATGCTCGGTAATGTTCCAAATGTTTCATCTTTGCTCCATCAGTCGTTTGGTAATGGAGGCCAAAATCCTGGGAGCTCACAGAGAGCGTTTATTAATGGTGGGGCAGAGTCCGATCCACTTTCTAGCGTCGGGGGAGGGATGGGGTTTAATCACCCGTCATCATCTTATATGTCTCCGTCAATCTCAGCCAACCAAAATTTGTCTGGTCAAAATCAAGGTCAACAACAGTTCTCTAACGGTGACCAGCAACAATCTCAACAAATCGATCCTCAGAATTTTCAACATAATCAGCAGTTTTCTTTTCCGAACAATTCCCAACAACAGCAGCAGCAATTTCAAGCAATGCGAGCTGGATTAGGAGGTGTCGGCCCTGTTAAGATGGAGCCACAGGGGACCAGTGAGCAATCACCACATCAGCTACAAGCTTTGCGGACTCTTGGTTCGGTGAAATTGGAATCCCAGCAGTTACAGAGTATGAGAGGCTTAGGTCCTGTCAAAATGGAACCCCAGCATTCGGACCCTTCTTTGTTCTTACATCAGCAACAACAGCAACAGCACCTCCTGTCAAGGCAGTCCCCTCAGGGTGCTACAGCGGCACATATTTTGAGTCAACAACGGCTTATGCAACAACTTCAACAACAGCAACTATTGAAAGCCATGCCTCAACAAAGATCCCCACTTCAACCACAGTTTCAACAGCAGAATTTACCTATTAGGTCTCCTGTAAAACCCGTTTATGAACCTGGAATGTGCGCGCGGAGGCTAACGCATTACATGTACCAGCAACAGCATAGACCTGAAGTAAGATTCTGATACTGAATAAGTTTTTTTTTTTTCCCCTAGGAAAGAACTTCTCTTTAGTGAGCACCTTGGGTTATGCTTACTAATGCGAGATATTTGCGTCGCTTTATTTTATTATTTTTGTAGGACAATAATATTGAGTACTGGAGGAAGTTTGTAGCTGAATATTTTGCACCTAATGCCAAGAAAAAGTGGTGTGTCTCGATGTACGGAAGTGGTCGCCAAACGAACGGAGTTTTCCCACAGGTCTGTTGGATTACAGACTCAATAATGGATGGACTTCTGCCAGGACTCTCCTGGCCCAGTTTATGCCATTATTGGTACTCTAACAATTACTATAGGTTTTGTATGAATGAAATTATTTTGGTAATTCAAAATAGGCTTAGCCTGGCTCTTTAACAAAAAAATCCTACTGAATTTATTTCAGTTGGCTGCATTACTAGTCAAAATGTCTAACCCTTTGAGTAGTTGAATTGATTTTTTTGGCAATTTTGCATCTGTAAGACATCCAAATTATAGTGGTTATAATGTGTATTCTATCCAAATATTTTGAAAAGTCAAGTATTAATTTAATAACGCTGCTTTGAATAAAATAGTCTCAAACTAACTCAATGATGGATAGAGGTCTATTAAAATTTATGTTATAGTTCTTTTGAAGCTTTTGAGATTTGTTTATCACCCAATGCAATGCTCTCACTTGGCAATGTATGCAGGATGTTTGGCACTGTGAAATATGCAATCGCAAACCTGGTCGTGGATTTGGTGCGTTTCCTTTCGTGTTTTGCTACATTATCTGTATCAATTTCTCGCTGTGTCTACAGTTTCTTGTTTGCCTTTGTGTTGTTCACTTCCTTTATTTCTTTGTGTGGTTATTATGGTATCACATGCAGTGATGTGGTGCCTTTTTCAGGCACCCATTTCAGCATGTCATATCCGCTCCTCACCTCCCAAACACCCTAAAAAACAAAACATAGATATGTGAAAAAAGGGAAAAAAAAAGGATTTGTTATGCATTTAACACTATTTTGTATGAACTGTTCAGAGGCAACTGCTGAGGTACTGCCCAGACTCTTCAAAATAAAATATGAAAGTGGTACTTTGGAAGAACTACTTTACGTTGACATGCCGCGAGAGTATCAAAATACATCGGGGCAAATTGTTTTGGACTATGCAAAAGCCATACAGGAAAGCGTCTTTGAGCAACTTCGTGTTGTTCGAGATGGTCAGCTTCGGATTGTGTTCTCACCTGATCTTAAGGTTAAACAATAGCTATTGGCTATTCTTTTTGTTGTTTAATACTTAGAATTGCTTTAGCTTACTCTCTTGCTTTCGGAATAATTTGTCAGATATGCTCATGGGAGTTTTGTGCTCGTCGTCATGAAGAACTTATTCCTAGGAGATTGCTGATACCCCAGGTTAACTAATCTACAAGTTATATTTTCAAATGCAGTTGTATTTTCAAATTTTGCTTTTGGAATAAAACTTTTAGTTGGGCAAAGCAAGGACAGTGTCTCCTTACATTTATGTGCATTGCATATCTCACTTCTTTTATTCTAAACTACAGGTTGGCCAACTTGGTGCTGCTGCCCAAAAATGCCAGGCTGCTGCTACTCAAAATGCCTCACCTGCTACATCTGTTTCTGAACTGCAAACTAACTGCAATATGTGAGTATTAGCTACCTGTGTGCCTGTTTGGTATTTATTCTATTCATTTTTTGGTGGTTAGTATTACATAAAATGTTTTGATTCTATGCTTTTCCAGGTTTGTTGCCTCAGCTCGTCAATTGGCCAAAGCGTTGGAAGTTCCATTAGTAAATGATTTGGGATATACAAAGAGATATGTGCGGTGCTTGCAGGTAACAATTTACTTGGTGGATTTGCGTAATTTACTGAAAATAAAAAAAATGTATGCTTCTCTGTTTGAACAAGTGGAAATCCTTTTAATCATCGAGCAGCACCCAAACTCTTGCATATGGATACTGATGATATAATGCGACCAGCGGGCCCCGGCATCAATGACTATTTTTTTTTCATTACCTTTTAATGTTCTTGTACATGACATTTGCTTAGTACAGTATCACATACACGATAACCTATATAGCATGAAAGATTTGTTATACATCTTTTATTGTTAAAATTGCAGATATCAGAGGTGGTGAATAGCATGAAAGATCTTATTGATTATAGCCGTGAAACTGGAACAGGCCCAATGGGTAAGCTTCATTATCATGCCTGTCATTTACATACTTGTCCTATTTGATGTCATTCTGTGAGTTGCTATCTATACCGATATTTGACGTAATCAGAAGTGCTTAGGATTCGGTATCGATTGTGATTAATGTTGTCTCATCAACACTACTTCATTTGAGGGAAGTCTTTATGTACTAAGTTATGGTGGGCCTTTTTTTTTTCAGAGAGCTTGACCAAATTTACTCAAAAAACAAATCCTTCGCCCGGATTTCAAAGTCAACCCCAACAAGCCGAGGGTCAGCTACAGCAGCAGCAGCAGCAGCAACAAAGAGTGGCTCAAACTTCAAACAACGATAATCCTGTCCAGGCTGCAGCCACACAACTTGCCTCCAATAATGGCATGCCAAGTGTTAATAACAACACTATGAACTCTATACCCACAACTTCATCTAACAACCCCATTGTTGGTCTGCTTCATCAAAACTCAATCAACTCCCGACAGCAAAACCCTATGTCTAATTCAAACAGCCCTTATGGAGGTAATAATAACGTTCCGATGCCATCTCCAGCTTCTTCTAGAAGTCCAGTGCCGCAAACTCAACCCGCTTCTTCCCCTTTCCAATCCCCAACACCATCCTCGTCAAACAATCCACAACAAACTTCGCACGGTAGTTTATCAGGTGGAGCTCAAATGAACTCAGCTAATTCACCAAATATCTCAATGCATCAACCTTCTACCTCAGGCGATGCAGATGCAAATGATTCGCAAAGCTCTGTCCAGAAAATTATACACGAGATGATGATGTCATCGCAGCTTGGTGGGAGTGGTATGATGACTATGGGTGGTGACGTAAAACCTGTTGGTAATGGCGGTATGAACGGGAGCAATGTTCTTGTAGGGAATGGAGTGGCGAACGGCAACCCTGGTTTTGGTGGTTCAGGCTTCAGGACAATGAACAACAATGGGATTGGACAATCAGCTATGGCAAATGGGATTCGAGCGGCCCTTAGTAATAACTCTATGCCTATGAGTGGGGCCCGAGGAGTAGGTATGGCAATGCCACGAGAGCAGCAGCAAGATTTGGGCAACCCACTTCTTAGCGGTCTTGGAGCGGTCAATGGTTTCAGCGACCTTCATTTCGATTGGAAGACATCTCCCTGATCGGTTTTTATCTAATGGGGTTTTGGCCTGTTTAAGTTGTAGCTGTTTGTGCAGCGTAGAAAATCAAGAGAGAGTAATTCCCATTGGAAAACGAGAAAAGGGTAAATGGCACGAGGCATAGTGTTTCTTCATAGGAATCTTAGATTATCATAAATTTTTCGTTACTAAAATTTCAGCTGGTTTGTTACAGATGGCTTTACTGTTTTGAGGGAAACTTGCAGGATCGACATAGCTGACCGTAAATTTTCTCTTTTCTGCCAAGACCCTCTCGTGGACACAAACCTGCTTCTAGATTTTCCGAGTACTTGAGTGTATATAGTCTGGATTGCCTTTTAAGCCAAATTTGTTGTAGAATTATCAGGGGTTGCTAGAGTTTAATTTTTACTTGTCTGATTCCTATAATCCTCATCTCTTACAAGTTGCAGAAACTGCTTCCTGTAGGTTGTAATGTACATTATTCTAATGGTGTGGACATCAACTTCAATCACATTAATCACATTCGTTTTTTTTTCTTCCCAATTTCGATGTGTTTTTTATTGAGTAAGACACTGGGCGACGGCCTTTGTTCGTATCTCTAGGACCAATTTGTCATGCCAGCAATCAATGGGTTGTGTGCTGTGATTTCTTATCAGTTGCATCCAAACATACAAATAAGTGTATGTAATGGTAAAATCATATACTACGAAAAACTAAGGTGCTCGGTAGATTGATTATGTGATGCAATAATTTATATAGAATAATGACTAGCAACAAAAGATGGTGAAGTTTCCTGTGAATACATCACATTTTGCTACTTAGCACACACGTTTAAAACGAGCAACTCCAACCGTATAGCAAGGAAAAGGGATCAATCAACAAAATATTAAATAAACTGCTTGAACCCAGAGAGAAACCTCAACCGAATACAAGCACATCAAGTACTGCACAGGACTAGAGATGTACACAGTAATTAACGCTCGTCTACAGATTAACAAGTTTTTCCAAGTTGTAATGTTTAGTGTGAAGAAAACTCTGGCCGATTAAATAGAGAAACGGATCACAAGCACAAAACGGGAGATAAATACATATCCTTAGAAACAGTCAAAAGGAATAATTCTTCAAATCAGCTTTTGAGTCGGCAATATCCAAGTCAGACATGCACTCTTCAGCAGTAAGAGGAGAGAGCTGTCTGGTCTTGCGTCTGAGATTATGCTTGTGCCATTCGCTCTTAAAGTGCTCTCTGTACTGTTTAGCGTCACCGACAAACGCATCGCAAGTGCTGCACTTTTGCTGTTTTACTACATCTCCTCCATGAGAAGAAGTCCCTTCTTTGGCAGAAATAACAACTTGCTTCTCCAATTTCTCACTCAGTTGTGCAACGGGCCCCACAGGTTCCTTCTGTACGCTCAATGGTTCGTCTTCCAAATCACCGTAATGGTCCATGTGTGTCTCACTACCGACATGCACATTCACTGCCACGATGTCTAGTCTCCCTTGCAGGTTTCTTACCAAAGCATCACAGTCACGGAAAATACTAGGATCCAGTTCACATATCTGACACAAACAGGGATTAAATTTAGTTAACGGGATTGTGTAAGCACATACGTATAAATACGAGAAGAAAGAACAGAGTTTAACTAATAATTTTTTTCGGCCAAGGTATTAGACTTACAACAGATAGCTGATTTCCAGATTCGTCTTTTGAAACGACGGTGGAATTCCACTCAGTGATCTTCTCCAAGAGAGATGGCATGTTCTGTTCAGGTACAGTTAATTTCAGTCTCATAGGGGACCGTTTGATGGGGAAGTGCTTCTGAAGCTCGCGGATAACATCTAATGCCTGTGAAAGTATTTTGGGATTTTATTAGCAATATAGGAACCGCAATGATAGGTATACATTTTCAAAACTGAAAGAAAAGAAGATAGCAAGTAAAAAAGACAATTGATAAAGACAGCGGGGCCATGTCGAAGATCGAAAGAGTTGAAACACGAGCAATGTGATATAGTGAAATTTAGCAATTGCGTATCTGTAATAAATGAAAGTTACCTGTTTCTTTGAGCTGCTATTTGGGTCAACAGCAAAGTGTATATCGTGCATTAGTCGCTCAATCATGCTTATGGTATACGGTCGTTGAGTTTCAGGATTAATAGTCTTCTGCATGATTATAGTTGCAATATCCCTAAATTGACTAGATAATTGTGACTCCCTCTCCTTCCCTGCAACTTGTAGCTCTCCTTTCTCTAAAATCTGCAATAGGGAAAGCATACGACTCTTTCAACACATGCATCTGCAGTAGTCTTTCCATCTTTTAAGAAGCTAATGTTTCATGCAGAAGTTATGTAATGGAATATGAAATCGATAACTTCTCACTTCATAGTAAATAATAATAAAACCTAAAATCTTAGTTTGAACCACAACCAGCAGCCAATTCCAGGATTTTATACCCATTCACAAATACATTATCAGAAGCTAACGAATAAAACCTAAAATCTTCATTTGCGTAAGTACATAAGAGAGGTTATCACCTACTAGTTTATGTAATTATCGCTAGGTCAAATGGTGGACATATAACACGTGCCCAACCTTACCACCTCAACCTTTTTACTAGAACAATTGTGCATCGCAGTTTTTACGATTAGATACGAGAGATTATCCTGATCAATCATTTTATTACAGAACTGCCTTCTGGTTTCCACAATGATTCTAATCACAGTTTCTCGGATCTTATGATCTGTAACAAAACATCTTTCCCTGTTTCAGTTCATCAAACAACTCCTATTTATTTATTTATTTCATTCCAAGTCTAAATCAAATATAATGACGAAGAAACTGACTGGTTGAATCACAAAAATTGGTATGGTATGAAAAAAATCGACTCGTCGTAAGTCGTAACACCGCTTCATGGAACTCAAATCACATTATTATTCCACCTTCTTTCCAAACATATCGATTTATTATTCTATCTGATATGATAAACTATGCACATTAACCAACGTCATCTAACGCAACTAATGTTACGAAACCATGGTGCCATTTTAAACAAGATGAATAACCAGCCACATTTAATTTGTTTATAGAAACATAAAACCGAATAACAAACCTCCAAACATATTTTGGATTGATCATCCATCCCAAACGCCGCCACTAATTCTTTCGATTTAGCGAGAACACCTTTCGAAACATTGGAGTAAACAGTCTGAGACTGCAACACTTCATCCAAATCTTTCTCCCTGCGCATTCAAATGTCATAAATATCACTACATCACCCCCAAAACCTTAATCAATTAAAAAAAAAAAAAAAGCTAAAACCCTATCCTTCGATTAAAATTACAGTCACGCCCAATTTAATCTTCCAGTGTAATTTAAATTTGATTGTAAAACTAGAGTAAAACTATAATCTAATATATATGTATATACGTACACGCCGGAGCGCCATGAGAGAACTTTGTTCTTATAGCAAGCGATTTCGAATCGGTTGCCGTGCTTCTTAAGGCGAACCACTGCCACGTTCGTAAGCCTCTTCTGTCCTATCGGCTGCACAAGCGTCTTCGACATCTCTCTGCTTCTGTGCGGCGGCGGAGGCGGCGGCAGGTAGTGGTGGCGGTGTAAGGTGGCTTTGTTGTGGAATTAACGAAAGTGTTTGGGGAGGAAATGTTAAATACTGAAAAAGTTATCCGAAACTGGGCCTGCTTTAATGGGCTAATATTTCTTTGCATTTAGGGCCTTCAGCTTTTACTTTATTTTATATTGGGCTGGAAGGCCCATTTGAAATAACATATTTATAATTTTTTTTAAATTAATTGTTATTATATTTTCATTTCCTTTTTTCCAGTCTTTAGTTTATATATAAAATATTTTAGTATTATGTAATCTAATATTTTTAATACAATTTAATTATCATGTATGTAAATTTTTCTTCCTTTTTGCAATATTACCCCATGCATCACACATGAAAAAGATGCTAGCATTAGTATATACTATACATACAAATATACATTACCAAATTGAACAATAGAAAAAAAAATATTAACAGATCAAAATTAATTATTTATTTATTAGAAAATTAAATAACATCATTCCAATGCCCAAATACATTTAAAATATATTATAAAAAAAATACTCCAAAGCAAATTAAATTTTGCTTCTACAGAAGAGTTCCTTCTTTCAATCCCATGGAGATGAAAGTCCTCATATGCGCGTTCTTCGAACGCACCGCGTAAATAATATCACCTAGTGCAGTTTGGCACTCAATAACCGGCGGACCACACAACTGCAGAAGATTCACCATTGATACGAAATCCGCCCTGTCGGCATCGTAATTCGCGCCTTGCATAAACCCCACTACACTGTGGTATTTACTTTCGCAGAACTCGTAGAGTTTCTTCAAGCCCGCGTTCTCTTCGTGTTCTTTAACTCTCTGAAAGAACGTTTCCGTGTCCCTTGCGAATGCTAGGGCCAGGCCAGTGGTGAGTCTTGTGAGACCGGGAAGATCCGTCTGCGGTGACGGAAGATTCTTGTTGAGTTGATCGAAACAAAAACCGGGATCCGAGACCGTACGACAAATTTGGCTTATGAAATCTTGTGTTTGATCACTTAGTGAAGGGGTGATTAGGTATGAGGTGACAACCAAGAAGAATGGGACAATGCAACAAAATTTGTTCATGTTTTTTTTCTATTATATTTTTTTTTTAAGGTTTTGTGCTTGAGAAAATATGATGTGTTTGTTGCGGTTTTAAATAGAGAGGTGGAATTATATTTATATATGGTAGGTGTAATCTTGATTTAATATTTTTGTTGATATGAATAAATGTATATTATATTGTGAGCATAATATTCTAGTAGTAATTTTGAATTTAAGGTTGTGATTAATTGTCGTGCCAAGATTGGTGCTTGGATGACATTAATCTTACGTTAATTTTGTGAGAATCTGATTTTTATTTGGTTGAATGTATATTTATGTTCATAAATTAAATGATTCTACTAATATGGTATTTCGTTTAATGCATATAAAGTTTTGATTGACTATATTATGTTCTTCATAATTTTGTTCAATGCAACTCACTCGATCGTCAAACAGCTCAACCCGATACAAGATTTAGGTGGTGTTTGTAAAAACTTATTTAAAAGTAGAAGTTACGGTTGTGAGTTAAATTGTAATTAAGTGATTATTTCTAAAAGTTGGGGGTAGTTGCAAATTAGCTGGAAAATTAACTAAAATAAAAAAAACAGGTACATGGGTGCTTTTAAAATTGTAGCTTAAAGCAACTTATTTTAAGAGAAGCAAAAACAAAAGTTTGTTTTACAAACACCTAAAACTAGATTATATGAGAAAAAAAATTCACAATTTATTTCTAAATGCATTTGCAAACACCACCTTAAAGCTGACGAAGATAAACAAGTGACTGAAAAATATATTAAAGAGGGAGTATAATATTTATTGATGTGACAAAAAACCTATCCGTTAGGTTTTTACATATTCGTTTATATAAAGAATCGTATATGGCTATTTTTTAATTTATGATCTTTTTATTCGTTCGAGATTTACATAGGTTGATTAATCATCAATCCTAATTTACGTATTTTCCTTATTTATTTATGGAAATTATCCTAAGATTTTCTTCTCCAATGGCCATCTCCGAGCTCGTCGAGTACCTAGGCCGTAGGGGTGGTAGACGAGATGAGCCGGCTCGAACTCGAGCTCGAGCTTTCTGAAAAGTTGAGCTCGTGCCTTTTCTTAGTTTTTCATAAACTCACGAGCCGGCTCACGAGCCTTCTTATTATTTATTTTTTATCTACTATTTTTTATTTAAATAATATATATTATATAAAAACATATAAAATTTTAAAAATATATAATTACAGTTCATTACTTATTTTGTAATTTTGTTTATTATAATATAAATAATTTTTAGTAACAAAAAATTAATAATTAAAAAAAAAATATTCGATGAGCTCGAGCCTGTCAAAACAACCGAGTTCGGCTCGTTCACACCCGTAGTCTTAATGTGTTAAATTCAAAACTTGTATAGTTTTAAATTTTGATTAAAGACTTTTATTGGACACATATTATTTTAGAATTCTGTATAATTTATTTTGGATATTAGCATATAATTTAATATATTAAATTTATATCATCATATTTAAAAAACTCTTGTGATATATGTATAAGTTTTGTTTCATTACTTTTATATAATATACACAAAAGTGTTTGGGGAGGAAATGTTAAATACTGGAAAAGTTAGCTGAAACTGGGCCGGCTTTAATGGGCTAACATTTCTTTGTATTTAGGGGCTAACATTTCTTTGTATTTAGGGCCTTCAGATTTTACTTTATTTTATATTGGGCTGGAGAGGCCTATTTGAAATTGCACATTCGTTCAAGTATCTTTATATATCTTTATTTATTTATATATAAAATTAAAAATTCGATGGTGCAATAAAAAAACTCCAATGACATACTTTTAATCTTTTTAGAATTTATAATTAATTTTTTTTTCATTTCCTAGTTTTCAGTCTTTTTTGGTCTAATGATTTTCGATTTGCAAATCAGCTAGCAAAATCATAATCCACCCAGAATAATCATATTTGTAGGAAGATTGATGTTATTTTGGTAATTTAAATTTTAGAACCAATTTTTTTTAATACGATTTAATTATCATGTATTTATATTTTTCTTCCCCAGTATACTATATACAAATATACATTTACCAAATTGAACAATAGAAAAATATAATAAAAAGATCACAATTAATTAATTAATTAATTATTTATTATAAAATTAAATAACATCATTGCAATGCCCAAATACATTTCAAATATATTAAATAATATTGATATAAAAAAAATAAAAAAATACTCTAATTTATTTTTTCTTCTAAAAAAGACTTCCTTCTTTCAATCCCATGCTGATGTAAGTCCTCATAGCCTCATTCCTCGATCGCAATGCGAAAATGTCATTAGCGCCGGGTGCATTCTGGCACTCGATAACCGGCGGAGCACACAACTGCAAAAGATACACCATCGATTTGAAATCCCCCCTGTCGGCATCGTATTTCGCGCCTTCCGCAAACCCTACTGCGCTGTGGTATTTAGTTTCGCAAAAACCATAGAGCTTTATCAACCTCTCATCGTCTTCGTGTTGTCTTCGTCCCCCAAATATTCGTTCCGCGTCTCTAGCTAAGGCTAGGGTTAGGTCAACCGTGACTCTCGTGAGACCGGGAAGATCCGTCTCCGGCGAGGGGAGATGCGTGTTGAGTTCAATGGCACAAGTAGCGGAATCCGAGACCCCACCGCATATTTGGCTAATTAAATCTTGTGTTCTTTGGTCACTTAGTGAAGGGCAAATTAGGTATGATAAGGTGACAACCAAGAAAATTGGGAGAATGCAATAAAATTTGTTCATGTTCATTTTTTTTTTTTTTTTTTTTTTTGGATTTGAGAAAATATGATGTGTTTGTGATGGTTTTAAATAGAGGGGATGGGATTATAATTCATGGTAGGCGTAATATTTTGGTGTTAATATTTTGTTGACTTAATTAAGGTCATGCCAAGATTGTATTGGTGCTTAGATGGCATTAATTTTACGTTAATTGTGTGAAAATCTGATTTTTATTTAGTTGAATTTATACGAGATTTTTTTGTATATGGTAAATGTATATATTTTATTTTATATTATCTATCATTTTACGGTTCGATTTTTGTTTCCAAAATTTTATCCTTATTACTTAAAACAATATTTTAATATTAATTGTCACAAACACACGAAATAATTTATGAAGAAATAAATGGTGATATATATTTTAGTCACGTTTGTATAATATGTCTACTCCCTAAAATTCATCCATGCTTATTAGTTTTGATTCTAACACGTGCACTGGAACCTTAAACGACTTCTTAAACGACTTTTAATATAACATGAACGAAATACACTTTGAATATATATACTAATATTGGCGTATGGTATGTGTATTTGACCCGAGTAACCCGAGTACTTGTATGGGAACAAGAGACGTCGATTGACCCAATGTCGAATGTTTGGTATTTATCGAATTCGATTGACTGCAAGTTTTTTTTTGTCAATAAAAAAGAAAATAAAATTTCATTATTTAATAAATATAAATAAATGGTTATTTCATATTAAATTTCATGTAAGAAAAAAAGATTACCAATCATTCTCAATTTGCAGGATGTCTATTTTCAAGAATTAATGAAAAAAATATATTATTTTATTCCTGTCTACAACTCAGTGAAACCCACCCCCAAAATCCTAGGTTTAAATCAAATTTCTGCGCAAACAAAAAAAAAATTAGGGCTTTGGCAGAAATCAATCAACAACGCAATAAGCAATCCGATTTCTCGTCAATCGTACTGTGAAATGAGTTCTACCGCCGACGAAGCTCAATTACACGACGAGACAGATTCCGCCGGCAACGGCGACGCAAAAACCTTCTATGATGTATACGGCCCAGAGGTTTGTTCTTCTTAATTTCTGCAATCTTTGTAGCCATGGGCATTGTTCCAACATTCTTCATTAATTGCATGCTCATGTATGAACATCTAATTTTGCTTGCGTATGGAAAGAAGGGAAAAAAAAAATTAAAATGGAGGTGTGTGACGAAATTTGAGATTTTTGTGTATGGTGCAGGCGAGAGCAGATGTAGAATTCAAGCAGCCCGAAGCAAATTCGACCTTGAATCTGCATGTATTTCTCGAATTACCGACCTAGATTTCGATATTTAATTATTTATTATATCATGTTATTTTAAATTTGGCGTTACTCGTTGGTTTCGATTGTTGTTACAGGATGTGCAAGGACTTGCTACCTGGGTTCTTGCTGAAGGATTCATGCCGTCGTGGGTTTTTATTAAAGTAAAGAGCTTATTTATTGCTTCTCGGTTTTGCTCAATTTGTCGATTTTCTTATTTATTTAGCTAGTTTATTCAGTTTTCGAGCTTTTTATGTGCAGAACAAACCGTTAATTCCCAAAGTGGTCATGCTTTATATCCCTGGTCTCGATGCAGCACTTTATTTGTCACAGTCTAAACTACTAAAAAGTTTTAAAGAATGCTGTGGAATTCCCAGAGCGGTTTTATCTCTCAGGTAAATTGGTAACCATTTAAAAAAAAAGTCGAGCGCATGATTTTCTTAAGCTATTGTACCTACTAAGTGTTTGCTTTTTTTTTTTTTTTGGTGTTGTTAGCTGTGTAGCGGATGGAATGCAGACAATAGACGCGCTTCTTACATGCAAAATAAAAAGAAAAAGGGACGAAGCAGAGGTCATTCAAAAAAAAGCTGCTCGGACATCTTATCAAGGTTCGAGGAAATATCATATAGAAATTTGTGGTTTATTGCCACCTTCATTAGCAATTAAATCTTGGTAAAATATAACTGAAGTTTTTTTACTGTATGATGCTTTTAGCGGGAAATTGCGACTCTGCGGAGGGTGATAAAGCATCTGCCATTGACTTGACAAAAAATCTGCCATTCCCAGTCACTTACTACACACTAACTGCCAAGGAATTAGAAGATAATGGATACTGTTGTAATAATCCAGGTAACGTTATAACCTGTGCAATTTTTTTTAATTATTATTTTTTTGGGGGTTTTTCTCATTGTACATTTTCTTTGCGGATATTGTTTGTTCTTATTATAGTTGATTAAATTTCTGGCATTGTAGAATTTCTTGCAACCCTTCCGGCCCCTTCTGGAACTCCATTGCATGAGATTGTGGCACTTGATTGTGAGATGGTAACTTTTCAATTATTAAGTTTGGTTAACCGTTTTTGTCAGTAATGAAGTGTTAGGCTAAAGATTGGGGATAATTTATATATCCATGTTCTGTATTATTTTCTTCCTTTTGAGCGCGTTATTTGAAATATGGTTGAGTTGGTTCACCGTTTTTTATGTTTGTTTATTTGTTTGTTTGACCAGTGCATTACAAGAAAGGGTTTTGAGCTTACGAGAGTTACACTGGTGGATATTACTGGACAGGTATACCCGCTCATAACCTCGATAAACAAAGTGATACATACATAAACTTGATATGTAGAGTATATTCTCTGTGTATGATTTATTTCGGGCTGCTACAATTTTGGCTAATTTTATTTCATGTGCAGGTATTGTTAGATAAACTTGTCAAACCAGCAAATGCTATAACCGATTACAATACAAGGTACTTCCTCTCTTTAACGAAACCCGTGTAAGCTATGATTTTTCGAGTCTTTTTAGAAAATCAGTCCGAATTAGAAAAAAATCTCTTAATTAAACTATTTGAAAGTTTTTTGTTTATTTTATTCTTTTGATAATACAGATACAGTGGAATTACATATCAGATGTTGGAAAACGTGACCACAACCCTCGAAGATGTCCAGGTATATTTCGCGCCTTCTGCCTTTTTTTTTCCTCCCATTTTTATATTCCAACAATCTCGAGTATGTTATATTTATTTCAACACTTGCTTCTGTGTTTAGGAAGATTTTCTTCGACTGGTTTACAAAGAGACTATCCTCGTCGGACATTCATTAGAAAACGATTTATTAGCTCTGAAAATCCGTCACGATTCGGTGATAGATACAGCTATATTATATAGGCACCCGAAAGGCCGGTCCTACAAAACAGCTCTTCGTGTGCTGACTAGGAAATTTCTTTCCAGAGAGATACAAGATTCTGGAAACGGACACGACAGTGTCGAAGATGCAAGAGCTACACTCGAACTTGCATTATTAAAAATTAAAAACGGTAACGCAATTTCGTACCCATACAATTCTGAATGAAAGGCATCCAAATTAATTTGGTAATAATTTATTTTTTACTTTTATTTCTGGTATTTAGGGCCTGGTTTTGGCATGCCCACTTCAACATTTTTACGAAAGAAGCTCCTCACATTATTAAGTGAATCCGGAAAAACCACGTCGCTGATTGATAATGTATCTATAGTGAAGAGATACGCCTCCGAATCATCTAATTCAATTCCAGTATCTTCCGACGAAGAAGCTCTTTTAAAAGCCAGAAAAGAGGTAATTTTTTATTTTAATTTCTGCCCATGGATTTTTTTTTTTTAAATCTTATCTTATTTATTTTTTTGGTAATTTATCAGGTGAAAAATGAAAGGGTGAATTTTATTTGGACCCAATTCGCGGAATTGTATTCTTATTTCAAGAAACAAGCTAACGATGATGAAAACATAAACACGAAGATAGCAGAAATGATCTCATTGCTTACGTGTAATAAATCTAATGGTAAAAAAAGCATTTCGTATAAAGTCACTTCGGAACTGAAGGAAATTCTTAGTGGAATCGATAAGAAAGTCAAAAGCTTATTCTCGTGTCTACCGTGCAATGCCATGCTCGTTATCTGTACTGGCCATGGTGACACTGCAATTGTTCAAAAGTGAGTTGGTTCTATTGCAATTATTTATTCATTTAGTTTCTTTGGTAGTTTGTTGATAAAGTTGTGTTTTTTATATGTGAAGATTACGGAAAATTCTTTCGGAGCAAACGGAAACTGCACTTAGCCGAGAGAAGATAGTCAAAGTGCTGGAAGAAATGCAGGCTCAAGCTGAAATTGGCTTGTGTTTTGTTGGAATTAAACATTAAATCCCTCTATTGTGTAATCTCTATTGTGTAATCAGTAATGTACTGAATTTATTTTAATGTATACAAATAGGTTAATACCTGATTTTTGTTGGGTAATAATTATAAGGTTATGTAATCTTTTAGACTTAAATATAGTTAGGGCCAATTTTGATGTGATATCTATAAATTCAGTTGCTGTTCCTCGGAATATGTTCACATAGCAGAAGGTGTAATCGAACTTCCGAATTTCGTCAATTCCGATTTTTTTTTTTTAATTTTATTGGATGGAATTCAAATATATACCAGATTTTGATTTTCGTTCCGATTTTAATTTCTGAAAATATTTTCAAAAAAGATGATTTTTTTTTTAAAATTACATTTGTAACATCAATATTATTATGTATTTTATATAATAGCATACCAAAAAAGTATACATCCGAATTCCATTGATTTATATCACAAAAATTCTGATTATGAAACAAACTGTTCATTCAAATTTTCGAAATCCCGATTTTCGGGACAAAATCGAAATTAGTTTTCTACTTCCGAAAAAATTGGAATTTTTCCGAGAGTGCTACCGTTTCGTTCAATTTCCACAACTACACAACAATATACAAATATCCTAAATCTCACAACATAACCTACATCATAAGTTCCGAACAAATGTTACAAGTTCACTACATTCAACAAATTAAAGAAAAAAAAAGACAGAAATAATAAGTGTTGTTATATATATATATATATATATATATATATATATATATATATATATGATTTCCTATTTTCTGAGTATATATACAAATCAGTTCACATCCAAGCTGAACAAACAATCAACATTTTATCCTCCCAACCGAAATGCAGCCCACCGTTTTCCTCCTTAACCGTATACCTGTCCGAATACTCCTTTATCAATTTCCGAATCTCGCCGCTCACATTCCGACCAATCGGTGACGAGCTAAAACCAGCCATACTCATCCTAGCCCTCCATTTCCCCGCCACCTCGTACCTCTCGATCCTCTCCTCCCCTTCACACGCAACAACGTTAATAATATCCCTCGCCAGACACTGCTTCTCGACATTCACCCTGTCCTGACTGTCCCTCCCCAGCGTAGCGTCCAACGACTCGAACACGGCCGAGTAGTAATCGTAAGCCTCGCCGAACCTGATTAAAAACGGCGCCGTATTCGTGTTCACATCTTGCTCGACAACCGTCACGAGCTTCGGGTTTAAGCCCTTCACCATGCGCAGAAGCCTGTCTCGCAAGTTGACCGTCGAAACGCTTTCGTCGGGCATGTGGTGTAGTTGAAAGGCAAAGTTTACAACCAGTGCTTCTTCGCCAGGCTGGCAGTCGAGCGTCGACGGGGAAACGAGGGCGGTTTCGGAAGTTACTGCATGGAATTCAAACGGGACCCGTAAATCTTTAGCCAATTGCTCGAGCCTCTGTCCTATTACGGTGAGGCCTCCCACACCGCGTTGAACAGATTCCGGGTCGTCGACCCCCGTTAACCTAACGTGGGGGCGCCTTCCGGAAGTCTTTGCTAGGGTTTGGAGGAGTGTGTAGTATTGACTCCCTTGGTTGATATCGAAATCTATGATGTGAACTCGATTTTCGTCTTTGCATGCTTCTAGAATAGCTCCGTTTGCCGCCATGAAACCGAACCGGAAGCACGGGCAGACTTCGAAGAGGACCTGCATGGCGGAGAGGCGGTCGGAAGATGGCGGCTCTTTGCATTTCAGGGCTTTGTAGAGTCCCCTACCGGAAGATTCTACCCTAGCAGCCAGAGCTTCCACCATGTACGCGGCGATTCTTCCGGAAGGTTCTCCCTGGATCGAGACCCTCTGACGGAGCACATTTATCATGTGAGACGCTTCGGCGAAATTGCCGTTCTGAATCGAAGCCGCGCATGCGAAAAGCAGGCTCTTTGGAGAAGTTGCGACGCTTGTGCTACTAAAGATGGAACCCGAGGAGGAATATTCCTTTGGGGAGTCTTCGGTTTCGTTTTCGGTTTCCATCCCATTATTGTAATTATTATCACTATCATCATCGTTATCGAGGAGAGCGTGTTCGAGTTCTTGAAGTTTTAGTTTCATCTGGGCATCGTCGTAGTCGATCATGTCTGATTCGTAGTTGGGTTGATAAGGGTCGTTCCCGTAATTTTCGCTGCTGTAGGATTCGGTGTTGTCTGAATTAGAAGTGGATGTTGACTGTGCGACAGAGGTGTTATCACCGTTCTTTATCGAATAAAGCTCGTGGTTACCGAAAAATGCAGCAGGTCTTACTAAAGACATGGTCCACTCCAAATTCCCAGTCGTAAAATCTTCCTCAAACAGATGAAAAAGTCGAAACTTCAGAAAATCTCGTTGGTTCCTTATATCTGAAAAAACATAGGGGAAAACAAGGTAAGAGAAATCTTAATTTTATACTTTCGTTCTTCACATGAAGAATAAAACGAAAAACATATTCCTCGGTTTTCTCTTCAAATACATACTTCAACTATGGTTAATTTAGTTTTGCACAAACACGAGCAGGTCAAATGTGATCTCGCTTTCTTTAGACAATCGAAAATAGTGGTTTCTTATTCTCGAGTCGAGACTATCTTAACGAATACAAACCAATCGAACGAAAGAGATTGCAAATCTTTCACAAAGACACTCCCAAATAAGTCATGAACGATGAAATTGAAGCTAATTTCTGCCGAATTACCGGCCAACGCACGCTTTTTAACGATCGCTGTACTTTCATATACACACGTGTTCGGGTAATACCGCTTTTCAAGACCCCGATTCAGCACCTCCATTGAAGTACGAAAACGGCGCAAAAAAATGCTAAGATCATCATATAACAGTAGCCAATTTCTTAAAAACATCTCAAAATTACATATACTTTTTCATTTTCAAAAAATCGATTACGGATTCCCCAAGCTCCTCTTCACCGTAAACTAATCTCAAATCTCAAATCATAATCACTACAACCTTAAAAAAAATGTTCTTTTTTCCAATCTTGTTTCAATCAAAACAAAAATAAGATCACAATAAAAATTTTCAATATTCATAAAATTAAACAACTATAAATACCTGAACAGAGGAGAAGAAAATCAAGACCAGCCCACAAGGAATCAATTCAGCAGCAAACAACAATCTGCAAATCAATTAAGCTTTGAGGTAGCTGCTATTAGGGTTTTTGACTACTGATAAATAGTAAACAAATGCAACCATCTAACAAAATATAAATTTTTTTAATATGGGATTTTGTTTTTAAATTAAAATATTTGAAGATTCTGAGGTGGGTTCAGTGAATAAGCAATAAACAAAAGACAAAAAACAAAAGTCCAATGGTTGTAAGAGCAATAAAGATTGAAACTTTAACAAACAAAGAATCAAGACAATACCTTCACACAAGAAAACAAGGCTTTAAAAAAAGACTTTTGATAGATATTATATATATAATATATACATATATATAGATATATAGATATAGGAATGAACAAAATTCAAAGACTTGCGGAAAGAAGAGAAAGATTCAAAATCTTCTGGAGAAAAGTGAGAGAGAAACTTACCACCACTATTCTCTGTTTGTTTCTTCAACAGAAGCTTCTTTAGCTTTAATTGGATGTTTCTAATTAAAACCCCAATTTGCCCTTTATGTTTGTGTGTTATTACCACACCTAGTGGTCTGACCTGGTCAACGCTTTGTTTGTGTATGAGAAAAAAAGATTAAATTTTTATTTACTAGAACCTCATCTTCTAGAAGATGATACCTTTTGATCACAAAACCGTGTCCTTGTGAAAATGACCGTTGTGCCCCTACTGAAATTATTTGGTAGAGTGGAACATTATCTAAACATTGGTTTCTTATCCATAAAGATGAGTACCATGTCAAGTGGATTAATTTGCCTAATTATTAATTAACCCAATAATAATAATAATAATAATAATAATAATAATAATTAAGAATAATAATAATAAGGCTGCGGCGGCTATATGCCAGACTAATTCTACTTTTACAAGACCAAATTAAATTTTGTAATATATAAATACTATAATACCCTTACTTGCTAAAAAATAGAAAATTTCAAATGTGCAATACCAAAAACTCAAAAAAAAAAAAAAAAGGCTGCGGCTATATGAAAGACTAATTCAACTTGTGCAAGACCAAATTAAATTTTGTAATGTATAAATACTATAATACCCTTACTTGCTAAAAAAATAGAAAATTCCAAATGTGCAATATCAAAAACTCAAAAACAAAAAAAAAACCCTATCACAAAACCATAAGACCAACTCTCATCTTTTCCATCAAAACATTTCTCCTTCCTCATCTATAAAACCACAAAACCTAAATCTTCAAAATCATCAAAACTTAACAAATCCTACAAAGATGGCAAGTATGGAGTCATAAGACATCAAAATAGAATAATCTACGGTGGAAAAACCCAAGAAAGTATACATATATGTGTTTTTTTAGCTAGAATACCGTTTCTCCAAAAAAAACTCTCGCGCAGACGCAGTCGACATGTACATGTCAAATTTTATAGGCAAAAATCGACATTGAGATGTCAATTTTTTAGTACAAAATCGACACCTTAGTGTCGAAATTTAACTATTAGCAAATTAGTCCAAATATACTAAATTTCGACATTAAGGTGTCGAATTTATGGACATATATTCGACACCTTAATGTCGAAATTTAATTGTTTCATATTTAAAAAAAAAAAAAATCCCGCACAGACACGGTCGACATGTACATGTCGAATTTTATAGGTAAAAATCGACATTGAGATGTCGTTTTTGGAGTACAAAATCGACACCTTAGTGTCGAAATTTAACTGTTAGCAAATTAGTCCAAATATACTAAATTTCGACATTAAGGTGTCGAATTTATGTATATGACACCTTAATGTCGAAATTTAGTTGTTTCATATTTTTTTATTATTTCTTATTTGGTCTTGCATGAGCAAACAAAAGCCAGTTTAATTTATGGGTATATTTGTCATTTTATCTTAATAAAATGGAATCTTTTGGAATCTTTCTTTGATTTGATCTTGCACAAGTGGAATTAGTATTGCGTATGGCCGCAGCCTAATAATAATTGTGTGGAAGTCGTTAAAAATATATATTGTACAGCTTTTATCCACTTGATGACTTGGAACATAATAAATAAATAATTAAATACTCAATGACTCGATGTACACGTGTGACTTGACGTAAGGCTTACAAATTTTATGTATCTACCTACAATAATGAGCTTATTCATGTTAAATAATAAATTGTCTTTAAATAATATATACATATATATATATATACTATATATGTGTACTTTTTTTTGGATTAGATGTGAAAAGATAATATATATAATGTTTTGTTAGTGAACCATCGTGCAAATCTTGACATGTTAATACCAATTCTACTATACAAAAATCAAAATAATAATTTAAAAAATTATTCCATGATAAATTACAAGTTATTCTACAAAATAATATGTAGTTGGTTAATTTTATTTTTTTCTAAATATCGCTGTTGGTGCAAAAACATAAAAAAGAAAAAGAAAATAATAATAATAATAATAATAATAATAATAATAATAATAATAATAATAATAATAATAATAATATTAGTAGCTGGGCCATTTTAAGATCCTATTTCAAATTTAGACCATAAAATGGTTGAGATGAATAAAGTATGCGATTCAACGAATTCTATAGCCCATAAGTAGCGAAATGGGCTTTGGCCCAATAACTGTAAATTTAGGGTAAATTACAACCACCTCCCTGAGGTAAAGTTTAATTACAAAACAATCCCTTCTTTTTGAGAAATTACATCTAGCCCCTATGCAGTTTGTTAATTTCTTACCTCCACTCCTTACAAAAGGCTGCTAATGTAAGAAATCTATAAATTTCAGGGGGTTGGATGTAATTATAAAAAAAATAAGAAGTTTTTTTTTGTAAATAAATCTTATTTCAGGAGGGCGGTTGTAATTTACCATGTTGTTTATTTGGACTCGTCTCATTAAATATGGATGAATTATGGTAAGGTAGTGAGTTTAATTATGATAAAACCTAACAAACTAATCCAATTATAAATCAACAATTAAATGAGTTTAAGAAGCGCGTCTAGTAAGAATCTCCTCCGCAACATTTTGTAGGTCGAAATTTAATTTATCGTACATGCTTATGTTTAATATAGTTTACATTATTGTTTACGATCTGCAAACTATTGCACGAGAATGAATATTTACACAACACATTTAAATAATTGTGTAAATTTCTTTTCTTTATAAGAAAAAGAAACAAACAACAATCAAATGAGTATAGAAAATATGATGCTCATAAGTCTTTGGGGAGATTTTTGTTATGGTGGGTAAGATGTAAACAACCCATTCAACTCACTCAATTATTTTACAATTTAATTCCATGATTATTACAAGAATGGCGGCCTAAAACAACCTTCGATAAAAATAATTACATGATAAAATAATTAAATATATGAACTACTGGATAAAGTTTTTGTCTGAATATTAGTGTGTGTGATTTATAAGTTATTATACGAAAATGTAGTTTTTATGTATTTAAATAAAAAAAATTGCAGAGACAATCAAATGTCTCATGTTTTCTTAGAAAAAAAATTGTCTTTTTTGATAAATCAAAAATGTCAAAATCAAAAATATTAATTATGACATTAATAATTGTTACAAGGTTTCATCAAATTATCACAAAAAAAGTTAATTAGCTGAGCTGTCACAATCTTAATTCCACATACTTCACCTTAAAAATGGAGAATTAAAAGGTTTTCTTAACCGAAAACGAGAGCCAATCTTTCGAAATGATAGATACATAAATGCCAACTAACTTTACTTAAGACAATAATTAAAGATATTAATTAAGTGATTATAAAAATGGGGGTTGGTATTAACTAAATTTCGACAAGTAATGTCTAATTCAGACACACATACTTTTCTTATGTGTTACTTCATTTGGATTATTTAATTTATTTATTTTTGGATGGCGGAAGACACGCTATCGTTTTGTACAGGTAGGGGTGTAACGAGTCGAATTTGACTGTTTTGGCGAGCTCGAGCTTTAGTTCTTCGCAGGGGCGTACCCAAGTAGTGCCTTGGAGGGGCAGCCGCCCCTGCAGAATTTTTTTTTTTTGCCTATTTTTTATTGAATTTTATTTATATATTTTTAGATTATAATATATTCGCCCCCTAATTTATTTTTATTAAACTCTCGCCCCCCAAATAAATTACCATTGGTCCGCCCCTAGCTAGTTCTTCGAGTAATTTTTTTGGGCTCGAACTCAAGCGCGAGGCGAGCTTGTCGAGCTCGAGCTCGAGTGTGAGCCCATTTTGTGTATTCTTTTTAGTTTTTTATTGATATTATTTGAATTTTATTATTATAAATTATAATAAAAATATCGAAATAAAAAACATGTCCTGTATTTTATTTATTTATTTATATGAACTTATTATTTAATTTATATCAATTATATTTTAAAAAAATTGTTGGAGATATTAATACTAAATGATATATTTCACTAATAACTTAAGCTTTTGGTTGAGATGGTCATTCAACATGGTATCAGAGCCAGACCAAATGAAAGATCATGAGTTCGAAAGGTCAAATGAAAGGTCCTGAGTTCAAATCCCACCGCCACCCAATTCAAATATTTCAAGTGCAAGGTTTCAAATGTAATTCGCCTACACTTGAGGGGGCGTGTTGGAGATATAAATACTAAATGATACATTTCACTAACAACTTAAGCTTTTGGTTGAGATGGTCATTCAACAAAAATAACAAAAAAAAAAATGCACGAGAGTCGGCTCGGCGTAGCTCAGGAACAACTAAGAATGAGCCTCGAGTTTGAGTTCGAGCCTCTGTCGATCGAGCCGGCTTACCCAAATTCACGAGCCGACTCAAGTCATTTACAACCCATGTACAAGTAATCTGTTTTGAGTTAATTAGGAATGGCTGCTGATTAATATTAATTATGTAACAATTAAATTAGCCATTGATCGAGGATGAAATTAATAAACTTTGCATGTTGCATGAATGCCAAAACGCGCATATATATATATATATATATATACTCCCCCAAAAAAAAACAGTAATCCCTACTAATTAATAATACAAACACACAACTAATTAATTAGATTTATGTTTCGATAATTAAATTAGCAGGTAATTAATGAGAAGTTGACGATTTAACTAGTGATTAAAACACTTGTACTCGATTAGACTAATATATATATATGATGGGAGATATAGACATATCACCACAGCCTGATTAAGGTTTAGTACTGTCTGTATAGGTGAATATATATTTAACTAAAACACTGTCTTAATTAACTTTACAATTATAATAATTGCCTCATTTTTATAGCAATTATACAATTAATCATAATAACTTGTCCAAAATTAAACAATAAAAAATAATATTATGCTTCCATAAATTTCAAATGCAATGTTTCTTGTTAAAGACGTATAGTGACACATATCTAATAATGCTAAACTTTTCAAGCCTATATATACATATATATATATATTTACTTATATAAGTTAAAACATGGAGAGTTCACCAAACAGCATCACAATATTAATCGAATAACAAGCTTTTTATTCCGATACCGAGCTTTGAAAAAAAAAAGAGTTTTTATATTCGGAGCTGCGAACTCTCGATATATCATATATGATCCGATCGATCGATATTTTCTTGGCAAAATTCTCGTCAATTTTTCGGATTTTCTTCTTCTATTGAATTCTAACTAATTAAAGGTAATAACAATTCCCTCCATTGGATCCTTTCTTTATAATATGGTCATCAATTCTTCTGCTATTTATATTTTGAGTCATTTTATTGTTTTATTAATGATAAGACATTTTTAACACAAGTAATTAATTAATTAATTAATATTGATGGGGCCATTAGCAAAGACAAAAAAAAAGGTGTTTTGTTTTTTTTCCACATGTAATTAAAGTCCATTTTGTGGTGCAAAACCAGCTTAATTAGTAGCTTCTTTCTGTGTATATCCACATTTTTCTTTTTTCATTCATCTCATGATCGATGCCCACGATTTCGATTGAAACTTAATTCGATTAGTATTCTAACTTCTTTGAGGGTTTTCGATCAACAGCTAAAAAAAAATCAATAAATATTGCGATATATATATGGATGAAACTGCGGCATGTGGTGGCGGCGGATCGAGCGGCGATCCGATAATTAGGACGACTAGCCCTAGAGGCCACTGGAGGCCCGCCGAAGATGAAAAACTCCGGCAGCTAGTCGAACAATTCGGTCCTCAAAACTGGAATTCTATTGCTGATAAACTTCAAGGAAGATCAGGTATTATTATATATATGCCTATATATGTGTATATGCTTGTATGTATATATCTAAATATATGTATGTGTATGTACTTATAGATTAGGGTTTTAGTTCCTTTTAATTTGTAGAATACATCAAGTTTTTATTAATATCCCTCTTATTAATTATAATAATTTTTTTACCAGAAAAGTTTGCATATATATTGTGTGATAATTATTATTCTCAGTTAATTAGGATATGTTCTTCCACATATCTTTATCTCTACAGTTAACATTCTTTTAGCAGAAATTTATGAATCTTTTTTTGAATTAATTAAACCCTCTGAATTACTAATTAATTAATTAATTAATTAATTAATTAATTGATCATGCACAACCTAATTACAAGAAGTTCATAATTTTTTTAATTAACTTTATATTCTCCAATAATATAATTCAACTTATAATTATTTTAATTTAATTCAAGAATTTAAAAATATTGAGTCTGCAGATAATAATACTAATCATGCATGCATGCAGGTAAGAGTTGCAGATTAAGATGGTTTAATCAACTTGATCCAAGAATAAACAGAAGGCCATTTTCAGATGAAGAAGAAGAAAGGTTGCTTGCAGCTCACGCAATCCATGGAAATAAATGGGCACTTATTTCAAGAATTTTTCCAGGTAGAACTGACAATGCAGTTAAAAACCATTGGCATGTAATTATGGCAAGAAAGCAAAGGGAAAAATCCAACCTAATTTCTGGCAAGATTAGTGATGATCAATCAACCAAATTATCTCGCAGTACTACTTACGTTTTTCGGAGAAAGAAATCGAGATTTCAAGAGGATAATTACGGTTCGAAAATCAGCTTCGAGAATGGTGGGATTTTCGATTCGCATAAAGACAAAATCTTCTCTTTGTCGTCTGGTTCGTACACATCACCATGGCCTAATTATAATTCATCCGCTAATTATTCTGATTTATTCGGACCGAAAAATAATAATCCCCGTATGTTAGCTACTATCCCTTTTAATCATCGCCTGAGCAATTTTTCGAGTAGTACTCCATTTATTAGTTATTTGGAGTGTGGAGAAAGTTCGTTTTCGTTTAGCAAAACGAGGACGAGTGGTGAGAATAATAAGCAGATTGAAGAGAAATCAAAGAAAGATGTTCCATTCATAGATTTTCTTGGTGTGGGAATTCTGTAATTTTCTATTTTTACATAGAATTGTAATTGGTTGAGGAAAATTAATTATGCATGTATGATATATATATAGTACGTAGTGTGTGTTTGCATGGGGAGAGATATATATGCATGATCATGACTAGGTTAGGGTTTTGTGTGTGTATATATATATATATATATATATATATATATATATATATATATATATATGTATGTATGTATAGCTAGTTCAATCTTTGTAGGCTCAGATTTAATTATAAGTCCCTAATGTAATTTATAGGGTAGAAATTGATCTAGGGTTTGAGACTTTGAGTGTTTGTCCATTTCACAATTTTTTAGAGAATCTTATAAATTTTGTTTTGTATATTGAAATCCTACATGCCTATATATATGTATGGCGATTTTTGTATTGCCCATGTGATTTTTTTTTAGAATTATATGATTGAGATATAATCTATGTAGCACGGAAAACTTCAACTTGTTAACGTTTATGTGTTTCGGAGACATTTAGTGTCGGAAACTTGAAGACACCCGCCGGACACCATATGGGCTATTTTGCAATTTCTAAAAAGTTAGAAGCATTTTTTAATAGCAAATTTTTAAATATTATTATTGTTTCCTAAATTATTTACATGATTTAATATCAATTGCAAATTGATAGTTGATAGTAAAATTTATTTTGAATGTATTAGTGTAAAAATATATAAAAGGAATTTATACATAAATAAAAACTTGTATTTGTTTAATAGAATATTTATAAATAAACCCCTATACTTTTAATATTTACACGTTTCCCCCCAATTTTCCATATGTATCCCCATTTTTAGAACATGCCGTTTCTCCATAAATGTTTGCCCGTATTGCCGTTTCCGTTTCCGTGCTACGTAGGATATAATAAATTTCTTGCTTGATACCTTAAAATTCTTAAATCATATAAATATAAGTATAATTAAAATTTTAATGGGCCAAAAGGAAAATATAATTTTATTATTTGGGCTAAAACCCAACAGCCTCTTCCTCTTTAGCCCAGTCACTTTACATTTTCGGATAAACCCCTCTCTCTCTCTCTCTAAAATATCGATGATAATGCTGACGTGGCAACAGTTGCAGCAGCGGCGAGGTATCACTGCACATCCCAACCATAAGTGGCGAATCCAGAATTTTTGTCAAGGGTGTTCAAAATTAAATATAGTAAAAATTATAATGGTTGGCTAAAAGTTTACGGGGTTCAGGGGCAGCACCCCCGATTTTTTTTTTTTTTTAATATTGTACACATTAAATAATAAAAATATATTTAAAATTTTTAAATGTAGAGGGATTATTTTACAAATTTTGGGCTAATTTAGAAAATATTAAGACATAGAATTGGTGAAAATATTAAAGGAGTAGTAAACATATTAAAGTTGCAAGCGACAAAATGTACATTTCATTAGCATATTTTGGATTTTCAAAAAGAAAAAAAAGACCCACATAATTCTAAATTTAGAAAACAATGGAAATAATACATATATAAAAAACATTAAGAATTTTGAATAATTTAGATTATATTTAATATTAAAGAAATGGTAGATAAATTCAAGTTACAAATAGCAAAATATATGTTATATTAGGAGATTTTGTTTTAAAATCAAGGGTATCCAGTTGCACACCCTTGGACCACACTAGATACGCCACTGTCAACCACGACGTCGTTTTGATACGCAAGGGCGAGAAAAGCAGACGCAATATAAATCGTCCGTCCGATCTAGGGCAAATGCATAGTGATCCATTTCAGGTACTTTTCTCAAACGAATTTATTGTATTATTGTTAATTTTTTGTGTTCAAATTCTCACTGTTAATTGTTATTAGGATCAGAATTTAGCTTAATTTTTCCGCAATGTTGAGAAAAAAAGGCAATGTTAAAATCAATGGATTCTCTTTGTTAATTTTTTTTTTAATTTACTTTAATTTTTTGCCATTCTGCAAATGTAAGTTGTATCTTCGAAAATGATTTAATTATAGAAGATGCAATATCAAATTAATACATGATTAAATATATTGACAAACCTTACTTCGATTCTTACATGGCAATGCCGGCTTTGATTCTTACATACTACATCATAGTACTTATCATCTTTCTCGAAAAGTATATACTATACACCTAAACACAAGAAAACAAGAACCTATAAAATGTCGCCCTGCCGTCTATATTCGTCAATTTTCACACACACCGCAAAACCGAGAGCAAAAACGAAAAAGATCGATCGAAGATTCACCATGGATAGAGAACTCGAAGAAATGCAATTCCTAGGGCTCTTCGGCATCTACGCAGAAGCCTACAAACTCATCTTCAAACTCCGTAAAATCTTTACCCAAATCACCCTCGCACTAATCCTCCCTCTCTCCTTAATCTTTTTAGGGCACGAGAAAATATCGGAAGTCCTTTACTGGAGAATCAGGTACACCGAATACAAGCTACACCGTACGCCAGCTGGCACCCCGCGATTTGATAGCCTCTCGGACCTTGTATCGTCCGAATGGTCATTGTACGTACTCTTTAAGGCAGTGTACGTCACTTCCCTCCTAGTTCTCGCTCTCCTCGCCACCTCAGCGGTTGTGTACACCGTCGCGTGCGTGTACACAAATCGAGAAATTACGTTCAAGAAAGTCATGAGTGTGGTCCCCAAGGTTTGGAAGAGGCTTATGGTAACTTTCTTGTGCACTTATTTAGGTTTCTTCGCGTACAACGTAGCTTTTGCCGTAACCTTATATTTATGGTTTGTGACTCTGTGCGAAGTCTCGATAGTAGGCCCGGTGGTTTTGTGGATCATATTTGTATCGTACGCAATAGGGTTCGTGTACGTGAGTGTAATATGGCAGTTGGCTAGCGTGGTCACGGTCTTGGAGGATTCGTGCGGATTTAAGGCGATGATCAAGAGCAAGAACTTGATCAAGGGGAAAATATTGGTTTCGATTCTTATATTCTTTAAATTGAATTTATCGTTGGGAGTTATAGACTCGTATTTTAGGATGTATGTCGTTTACGAGTGGTTCGAAATCGGGATAATAAAAGTTATTGGGATTGGGGTGCTCTGTTTTCTGCTCTTGTTGAAGCTGATTCTGTTTGTTTTGGTTGTCCAAACTGTTATCTACTTCGTGTGCAAGTCGTTACACCACGAGAATGTCGATAAATCGGCTCTTTCCGATTATTTGGAGGGGTATTTTGGGGATTATGTACCTTTGAAGGCCAAGGATGTTCAGCTGGAGGAGTATCATCTCTAATCTTATTACAACTTGTAATAGTAATTGTATGATTAGGACAATATAAGTTAGTTTTACTGCATGTCCTTTTTTTGCAGTGATGTGATGAATAATGAATTAGTGTATGTTTAAGCTGTTTTGTTCTTATGTAATGACGTCATAATTAATTAATCAGGTCTTTTAGTGGTTTAGTTGGCATAATTATTAATTCTTTTATAGAACAGAGTAGTTATGATAATTTTGTCTTTTATTTGCACAATAGTGGATTATGTTTGTTAACCAAGTTAAGTGGTGCATAAGTAATGCTGGAAAAGTAAAATAGTTAAAAGAAAATTTTGAGTAAATAAGTTTTAAAATTGTATATATATATATATATATATATATATATATATATATATATATATATATATATATATATATATATATATATATATATATATATATATATATATATATATATATATATATATATATATATATATATATATATATATATATATATATATATATATATATATAATATATATATATTTATATATATATTAATAAATTATAGGGTAAATTACTGCAATCTTAAACCTCATGTTTGAGTAATTACATATTTTTCCCCTCAACTATGATTTTTTTCCTTACACGTCCACCTTGCGATGTCAAATTTACTGGAATCTTCTAGATTATGAGGAATATTTTCCAAATTGTATCCGTTTTACACCATTCGAGCTCCACATTTTGAAACAAGATGATCAAAAGACGGGCCTCTTGGCTTGTAAATATCATATTGTGGTGCATCAGAAACTGTATTTTTTACACAAAACGAGTACAAACTAGAGAACATTCCACGAAATCTAGAAGATTATGTTGAATTTGACACCATAAGAGTAGACGTGTAAAAAGACTCATAATTGAGGGGAGTGATTGTAATTACCTAAACATGATGAATTATTTAATTGATCTTACATCTCATGGGTGACCGTAAATTAAATAAATATTTATATGAAAAATATATTTCAAAATCTATAATTATATTCATCCTGGAAAATTGAAATGTACATGTAGATAATAACACACGGCAAATGCGAATTTTCAACAAATAATCCAAATAGGCAAGTTAACACGAAACCGCCCTATATATATATATATATATATTCCTATATATCGTAATAAATAATAATAATAATAATTACTTCGAATTTACATTTGACCGAATATTTTTAAATTGAAAAGTCAAAATCGTAGCAGCCAATTACCGTGTCTGCCACACCATTCCACATTCCTATAAAATGCACAACGTCTCCATAGAACTAAATCATTTAAAAACTTCCAATTTCCTAACAAAAAATAAATTAATTTAATTTCCAATTATTCTTTCACAAGTTTTTGTTACCTCGTACAGATCGAGTCATACTTTATTTTTTCGATATAATTAAGGAACAATGTCCATCATCACCAAATCTATTAATATTGCATGTGGGGTTTTGCCTAGGCTCAATATTACTAACAAGCCCTCCTATATGTCCGGAACTCGAATATTCTTTTATTCTTCGTCTTCTTCACATTTCGTTTCTGCAAATAATCGTAATCAACATGTTTTTCGGAGAGCGAAACAGTACGGCGCAAGTCGAAGGTACGTAGATGCAAATCGCGTATATAAAATTATATTTGCTATGTATGTATAGGCAGATAATTGTATTATTTAATTTGTTGGGTATTCGACGAATAATCTTGAAAATTATTGCTTCATCTTTTTCTCCAGGAGATTTGTCGTACGAAGTGTTGTCGGACCAGGATCTCCGCCGCCAACAGAGCCTCCTTACAACTTCATGTAATAATTTGATTTTTTCTATAATTAATTAATTAATTAATTAGTTAATTAAATTTGATCACATAAAAATAATGGTTTTAGTTTGATTTTCTTTTTGAATGCAGAAATTGGGCTGTGGGGTTTGCAATGACAGTAGTTATACCCTTCTTCACACACAAATGGACATCACTTCTCAAACTCAAGAGTAAGTTCTATATATATTATATAATTAATTATTAAACCTAATTAATTAAAAGACTCTAATTTTAATAAATGGTTGAATTAATTAACAACAATACAATATAATGTTCAGATGAAGTTGAAACGGCGGTGGAAGCGGTAGAAGGAATAGTGGACGCGGTGGAGAAAGTGGCGGAGGGGGTGGAGAAAGTGGCGGAGGACATAGCCGAAGATCTCCCGGAAGGCGGCCGGCTTAGAAAAGCCGTCGATTTTATCGAACATGTGGCCGAAAGAGCGAATAGGGATGCTCATTTAGTCGGAGACTTCATCGATAAGGTAATTTTATATTTTTGTATACATATTATTAGACAATTAATCTCAAATTAAATTAAATTTGGATTTAAAAAATTCCAAAAAAATAATTAAAAAAATTGTAAGTTATTTACTTATTAATTAAATTATAATTATGTAAATGCAGGTTCAAGAAGTGGAAGACAAGGTGGAGGATTATGTAGAATCATTGGCTGAAGATGCCATATTCGGCCATCAGCATTCTTCCAAACAAAAGCAAGAAGAAGAAGAAGAAAAAGTTCAAGAGATACCTAGAGAATAAATTAATTAGCTATTAATTAATGGCTCAAAATAATAATATTATTATTTATTTAATTTATTGATTGAAAAAAAGTTGAAATGTATATGACAATGATGACCATTATATTTATTTAAATATATACAAAAAATTCTTTATTATTTTCTATGTATACTGATCTTCTCTACTATTTCGATTCAAACGGGAGACGACGACTAACACAAGCGTAAAACAAGAATTATCGGAAAATGTAGCGACAAAAAAAAAAAAAAACTGAACAAAATACATCTTAATTATTGTTGTAATTAATTAATTAATGTGAATTATTTTAGTGAAGATAATTAGAGATACATAGATTAATTAGGTGAATGCCTGAATTTAAATATTGTGGTGATGAAGCAGATAATAGAGCTTGAATTTTGTGTGGTGGCTGATGAACCATTTTGGCTTATAACACACAATTGCATATTTTCTTGTTTTTCTTTCACACTTTTATTTGACCTGTCTATATTACATGCCTCCAATATTGCATGCAATTAAAAAAATATCTCACACATTAAATCCAAATTTCTACTTCAATTCTCCTTTAAAAAAATTCCCTACTTTAATACTAAGGTGGTGTTTGCAAATGCTTTTTGAAAGTGATTATGCGGTTTTTTTTGCTCATAATCTGTTTTTAGGTGTTTGCAAAATCAACTTTTGCTTTTGCTTCTTTTCAAATAATCTGTTTTAAGCTATTTTTTTAAAAGCACCCCTAACCCTGCTTTTTCAATTTTAGTTCATTTTCCGAAATATTTGCAAACACCCCCAACTTTTAGAAATAAGCACTTAAAACTAACTTAAATCACAATCACTAACTTCTGCTTTTAAATAATCATTTGCAAACACCGCCTAACTTTTTTATTCCATGCAATTAGGGCTTTTTTTTATATTTTTTTGGTGGTAAAATTATATCAAATTATAGCTAAGTTAGGAGGGCAAATAATAATTATTACATATGCATAAAAAATTGACCTAAGATGTTTCATCTTTTTAAGGTGATGAGTTTTGAAAGATTCAAAAGTGATTAAAGAAATTTAGGATAATACTAATCTTTAATTTAGGATAATACTGATTATATTACATACATAATTCAAATTAAAGAATTTATTAATTATTATCCTCAATTCTTTGGTAAAAATGCACACACATGTAGAATATTTTGATTGTTCAATTATTTGTATCAGCCGCCTCTATTGAGTAATATATGTCTCCTGGTAGCTCCAAGCCTGGACAATATATCTATTTAATTAATAATTAAATTGAAATTTCTACATCAACTTGCAAAATTACCAGAAAAAATAAATTGAAAAAAAAAAAAAAGTTGAAAAGGATTGAATTGCCATTCTTTTACTCACGTGTTCTTGATCACCTTCCTACCTAATACCTCAATCCTATTCTCCCATCTACAACAACGTTTGTTGTAAGTTTTCTGATAAATTACGGCCGCCCTCCTAAAGTAAGATTTATTTACGAAAAACCCTCTCATTTTTCAATAATTACATACATCCCCTACAATTTGTAGATTTCTAACATAAACATCCTTTTGTAGATGTAGGTGTAAGAATTTTACAAACTGCAAAGGACTTGATGTAATTTCTCAAACATAAGATGTTTCTTTACAGTTACATTTTAGCTTAGCGAAGTGGTTGTAACTGACCCTTATTTTTTATTTGACTAATAAATAAAAAAATGTAATCCATATTATAAAGAATGCTTCAAAGTCGTTTAAAAGTAACTCAAACTATTATAGTACAAAGAATTTGTCAAACAAATGTTTCTTTATTGTTTTCACTACGCCTTCCAATCAACACGTTTCTTCCAAGCTCTCTTCAATATATATTTGCACTTTTTCCTCTAATTATTTCTTGTCATCTTACATTAATATTTATTTTCCTTCATTTAGAAGATATTAATCTATATTCATTCAAGTTCATTTATTGCTTCAACTTTACACATTTAATTTAAACATACATATATATATATATATATTATATTTAGAGTGTAATTACTTACAACGATTATTAGTTTGAGTTATGTCGTCTGCAAGAAGATTTCTCTCATCGTTGTATTCTACATATCGTATGTCTCGGATTATCTCGTCGAAAGCCAAAATCGGACACCTTACCAATTATGCGGAAATGCAAAATTATAATCCACATAGAAGGTAAGTTACGATGCATTCGTTTTATTTGTCGCCGCACTAATTATAAATCTTCCTAAAATTAAATTATTTTTTTCAGAAATTTATCAGGTGCTCCATTGCCTAATTCTAAGCCTCCATCTTCTTCCTTATACGTGTTCTTGAGGAATTTTAATTTAATCTTTAAAAATAATCGAGATAATTAAATATAATGCCAATTGCATGTTAAATATGTATTAATGTTGATATTTAAATTAATTAATGCAGGAGTTGGCTTCTAGGAATAGGGTTATCAATATTTTTACCCTTCGCGGGCAGCAAGTGGGGCCCACTACTCCAATTCAAAAGTAAGTTTCAAAATTTATATTTAAACGAATATTATTATATATTATAGGGCAAATTACGGCCAACCCCCTAATGTAAGGTTAAGTTACGAAAAAGTTTCTTATGTTTGGATAATTACAACCACCTCCCTCAATATGTATTGTATTACACGTCCTCTCTTACAGTGTCAAATTTACCAACTGAATGGGGTTTTTTTTATAAAAACTACATAGTTGAAGGGATAGTTGTAATTATCCAAACAAGAGGGGACTTTCGTAATTCGACATTACCTTGAGGGGTTCTTGAGGGGTTGGCCGTAATCTGCCCTATATTATACATTGCATCTAGATTCATTTAATTTAATTTGACATTAGTAACTAGGATTAGGGTTTTTTTTAATCTTTAATAGACTATGATGCATCGGATTTTAATTAACTTTACATGAGAAATAAGAAATTTAGAAAAGTATATTATATTAATCGAATTTTGAATATTTTGTAGACGACGTTGATACGGCGATGGAGACTATAGAACAAATAGCGGATGTGGTAGAAAAGGTGGCGGAGGTGGTGGACGAGGTGGCGGATGGAATCTCCGGCAACTTGCCGGAGGGTGGAAGAATGAAAAAAGTGGTGGAAATTGTGGATGACGTGGCTGAGAAAACTGTTAAAGATGCTCGTACCGTTGGAGACGCTATTGACAAGGTAATTAATTATGTTTTAATTAATTTAATTTGCTTAATCCCATTAATTAAACCATCTTTGAATGTTAGGCAATATTCAACACCTTTTTCACCTAATTAATGTGATAATTAATTAGATTAATTACTAACGAATAATGAATTAGCAGGATTGGTTAGTCAAATTCCGTGCCTTATTTGACTTTGAAACTTGATGTGTATAAAAAATGGAATCTTATGACATTTTTTTTTATCTTTATCCAAATTATTTCCAAATTTACCCAACAATAATAATAATTTAAAAAAATGAGAAAGAGAAGATAAAAATCAACAAAGGGATAGTTTGGTCAAATAAGGATTTTTTTCTCCACAAATCAAGATTTTTTAATAATTTTCTTATTTTGTGTGCATCTACCTTAAACGACATTTAAAAAGAAACGAGTGAAGTATTTATCAAGAAACTGTCCAACCAACACACTAAATGTTGACTATGCCCAATTAATTGAGAAAATTAGATGTTATACCTGGTAATTGTTAACTGTAGAATTGCACATAATAACGCAAACACCCATTTGTATGTCTGCTTAGTGGACGATTATTTAACTCCACTTACAGTTAACAATCAACCAGTGTAAATAAACAGTTAGAACATCAAAATTTTCAATTAATTATTAATAATCTACATTTGCTTGAAAATTGTGCAAATTAGTCACATGGAGTTCAAAATATATGGCATATACTAATAAACATACTCTCTCCGTTTCTAAATATGTATCGTTTTTCACTTTGGCACAAATCTTAAGAATCTCAATAAATATGTCTTGATTTTAGGAAAATAAATATTGATGGACCAAAATACCCTTGTTTATTCATTAATGCAGGAAGAGTGCTATAGAGTTAATAAGGGTAAAATTGAAAAATAAGCAATTAATGCAGCATTGAAATTGCAAAGTGACAGATAATATGAAACAAAAAAAATTCTCAAAAGAAACAGATATTATGGAACAGAGGGAGTATTTAATATTAATTTGTTACTTGTATGTTTCAGTTTCAGGAAGTTGAAGGGAAGGTTGGAAACATTGTTGAAACTCTCAGTGAGCATCACAAGGAGGCAAAGGATGCATAACAAATTAATTGTTACCAATATATAAGAGCACAATAATCTAATTTATAATTAATTAGTAGGAAAATAATTTGAAAAAAACTTATTCAATTATTTAATTTATTGTATATACTAGTTCATTTATTCATTTCTATATATGAAGTGTACATATATTAAGTTACTAAATACGTTCTTTAAAAGTTCGTCTGAGAAGTTCGATTGTTAATGTTACTATACACAACGAAAACATGAATAAATAATATCGTACACGTGAAATTAGTGCGGTTTCTTCAATGTTTTTCGTTTTCCAGTATTTCTGAGATATTTCTTTATTTATTATATATATTTAATTGTTCAAAATTGTTCAAAATTCACAAAATAATTATACTTGTATTTCTATATATAGCCGCCTGAATATATATGACTGGAAAAAAAATAAGAAAAAAAAAACAAAGAATTGAATTTCACTTTCCTAAGTCCCACTATATATAATACATACAAAAAGATAAGGAATATCCAAATTAAAGTTAATAACTTTATTTTTATTCAATGATGGAGCATGCAGCATTTGAAAAGTCATGCCCTCTAATTTTCATACTCCAACCAATAGTAGTAGTACCCCTCCTATAAATCTCATATAGTGGGGGTAGTTGATCAAAATAATATATTAGCTTCTTCTTCATCAAATTTACACACACACAAAAAAAAAAAAAAAAAAAAAAAAAAATCAAGAACTGCAGAAAATCGATATATTTGTTAGTCATGTTGATCAAGGTATACTTCAATCCTCAAACCCTTGTCCTTAATAATAATAGTCCCGTATCGAACCGGGTTATTATAGTCACTCGTCGTTTCAAAGAAAATCAACTAGGGTTCCAAAATCCGAGCAGCTATACAAGATCATTGCCAAGGCATAATCGCACTAATCGAAGGTGAGTTAATTTACATATATGTGTAGTTTCTTTATAATAAAATCTGTCGAATTAAAGATCGTTTCTCGGTGACATGAACGTAACTTACGATTTTTATTGTAAAATACAATGTTTTTACTATATCAAGATTTACGTAATTAAGTGATGTCGTACTTACGGAAATAAGTGGTGGTGTTTATTAGGAAGTATGTCGTCTACAACGGTGTGCAACCAGGAGTTCCACCTTCAGGGCCGCCTCCTTCGAATGTTTTGTGAGTCGATCGAGGCTTTAATTTTTTTTCGTTCGAATTATTATTATTTTTATTAGGAAAGTTGTCAAATTATTAATTATAACTATTTATTTTTTTGTGTGGACAGGAGCTGGATTTTAGCAGTATCTATAGCAGTAGTGATACCTATTGTCAATTACAAATGGGGACCATTACTCAAAAGTAATTCTATATATACCCTTTTGTCATTTTTCATAATTTAATTAGCAAAATATTTAGCTAATTTAAATACATTTATTAGGTATAAAATAAATTTATACATAAGTTTATTTGTAATAAAGCATTAACTTATATAGTTGTTGTACGTACATGCAGAGAAAATAGAAAGCGCGTTGCAGGTGACAGAAGATGTGGTGGAAGCAGTGGAGAAAGTGGCGGCGGAAGTGGAGAAGGTGGCGGAGGACATCGCCGATGATTTTCCGGAGGGCGGCAAATTCAGAGAAGCTGTTGATTTTGTCGAAAAATTGGCTGAAACAACTGCAAAGGATGCCGGATTTCTTGATGACTTTATTGATAAGGTTTCATTTACCACCAATTATTTTTCTTGCCTTTTTCTATATTTTCTAGGGCATCTTACGGTCAGCTTCTGAGGTATGGCCAAATTACGAAAAAAATCCCTTTTGTTTGAAAAATTGCGTCCACCCCTCAACTATGTTTTTTCCTTACATCTCCATCCTTATGGTGTCAAATTCAACATAATCATCTAGATTTCGTGGAATGTGCTCTACTTTATACTCGTTTTGTGTAAAAATACAGTTTCTGACGCACCACAATCTGGTATATACAAGCCAAAAAACAGATATTTTGACATCTTGCTTCAAAATGTGGAGTTCGAATGGGATAAAACGAGTACAAAAGTGATTACATTCCATATAATCTCGAAGATTTCACGAAATTTGAAACCACAAGGGTGGACGTGTAAGTAAATTTATAGTTGAGGGGATGGTTGTAATTACCCTAACAAAAGGGGGGGTTTTGTAATTTAACCATACCTAGGGGTGGTTGTAATTTACCCTTACTATTATTATTTATGACAAAATTAAATGCACTTCACCCCTATAACTTTTCCATTTTCGCATTTTCTCCCCCAAAAATTGAAAAATATGGATTGTTACTCTTCTCACACACTAATAAAATGTTGACTAATAGTATATCTAATTTTGACCGTTTGTTATTGGAGTAGGTGTGATGAGATATTTGAAAATTGATAACGTTTTACTTTAATATTATTATTTCAGGATTACATATTTGAAATTATGTAGAATTAATTCATTTATTTATCATTTAATATTTGAGATATGTATATATGCTAAAATGCAGGTTCAAGAAGAAGAGGACGAGGCAGAGTCCTTCGTTGAATCTCTCAAGGATGTTTCCGCGAGGTCAAAAACGAAGACCACCGATCAAAATGTAAGTAAATATAGTAGAACCTCGATAAAATCAATATTATCTCTTAAATAATAATTTATTCTGGTCCCGATGCGATGAGAACATGCTATATTATTAATTCCAAAATTAATTTTGTTTATACCAATTTATGTAGAGAGAAAAAAGATCATTTAATAATTTTATTAATATGCATAAAGGGTCATTTTGAACTTTTCTACTAAAATGAATTATTAATTAATTAATTAATTAATTATTTTTTTTTTATTGTTGGAAAAAATGCAGATTGAAGAATTGCAAGAAAAGGATGACACCAAGAAGATTCAAGAGGAATCAGTCAAACCCAGCATATAATTTGTGGAAGCTTATTCCAATTTTATTAAGATTTCAAAGATGTGTATGAGATTAATATATTTGATGTCGTAAGAAATTAAATGGAAAAGACCGTTTTGTCCTTTCCAACATTCGGATTTCTCTTTTTGGGCATTGCATATTTACCAGAAAGCCCTTCATCATCCTACATATAAAAATTTGAAAAATTGCATTCAATTAGCTACCCTTTTTTCCTTCACGAAAGAGAGAAAATGTTACCTGCAAGGAAATAAAGACAATGTATAGTGACATAATTGATAATAGAAAAATTCACGACGATATTACAGTTATTGTTGTCTTCTTCAAATACAATAATGGTGAAGAACCAAGCTTCCGTTTTTCTCCGGTTGAATACTAAATTCTACGGACAATGTTTGACCATCAAACTCGAAAGATATTGGGTGGAGCAACAAGTTTTTCAAAAGGCTGATTTCATGATTTGTGTATGAATTTTTGATTTCTAGTAGAATTGTGAAACATTTATGAAATTATAATTAGGTGTTTTCTGGTTTGGATTTTTAATTTCTTGGAGATAAAAGTCAAGTGCTTGAGATATGTGTTAATTTTGCAAAGAATTGCGAAAAATGAGAAAAAAAAAAAGAAGCTATATTTCATTTATTATTTACTTTTCAATTATTGAAGATATAATGTCTAATGATATTTCAAAAATTTATATATAATATAATACATTTTTTATATAATTAAATATTGATATTTCAGATATTCATCCTATCATTTGGAATTTAATCCCTAATTCAAAACACCAATCAACGGATACATTAGGTGTTTAATTTCACATTCAATTAAATCCTTACTTAATTACAAGGTTGTAAAAAGCGGTAATCGGGTCCGAGTCGGTCAGGCATCGACACCGATTACTCACGATTAATCGGTGCGGCGGTGATTAATCGGTGATAAATTGGAAATAAATCGGTTTTTAAAATTTAATATAATATATTTCTAAATATTATTTATAAATACTCCAAACATATATATAAACAGATATTTAAACATAGTTATATCTCCATCACCTATATATCCTAATAACATAATAAAAGTTTAATAATTATAAGATCATAATACATAAATATCCTTATAAAATATAAATAAAAAAATATTTTGTTTGAATTTACATTTATTCTTGAACATTCCTGGCATACATCATTAGTTCTTTAACAATAACAATTAACATAAACAAAATAAGGCATAAACTCATATTTTCTTTTATTAAAATCCAACTTTTATTTTGAATTATGAAAAAAATAAGAAAAAAAAAAAACCGATTTTTAACCGATTTTTGACCTATTTTTGCCACCGAGTTTGATCCGCCTTAAAGGTGTGACCGCCTCGGACCGCCTCAGACCGCCTACAACCGCCTCACAGGCAAAAAATCGATTTTTCAAACCTTTACATTAAAATCGTAAAGATTTTGGACCGCCTCCACCTCGGAGACCGATTAATCGGCCGCCTCGACCGATTTTTAGAACACTACTTAATTATAGTCAAATCAGATTTGAAATAGATTAAATCATCAACATGTCACTAGGTGTTTAATTTGGAAATTAATAATTAAAATTATAAAATAAATTAAACTTAAATTAAATGCCATGTGTCAAGAAATATGAGTGAATAGTGATAACGAAATAAGTCTGTTACCATAATTCTTGGCTTTCTTGAAGGATGATATATTTTCAAAATTTTAGTAGCTGATTTGAAGGAATTAAATATTTCAATTTATTTAAAATTAATGAGTCAATTTAAGTCTCGTAAATTAAATAGCTAGAACCCTAATTCACTTTCTTATTTTCTATTCTCCTTACATTCAGATGGATGCGTTTAGGAGATTATTCTCTTTGACTTGTGTCGGACAACAAAATAAACCGGTGGCGGCGGCGGTGGAAACTCCGGCGGATGTTGTGACGTCAGAAAAATTGCAGGTAGGGTTAGGATGTAGTGAGTCAACTCTGCGGTCGAGGGATATGGTGAGTTACTCGAACTGTGAATTCTCAACAGCTGTGCTGGAGGCGAACGCCCCCATTGAGGATTATAGCCACGTCGTAATCGGTAAAAATGCGACCTTCGTCGGAATATACGACGGCCACTGTGGCACCGAAGCCGCCAACTACTTAAAAAAATTTCTCTTTAATAATCTACTCAGTGAGTCCCTTCTTTTTTATTTTTTATTTTTTTTATTTGCCTCTAATAGTTAATTATATATATAGTAGAACTATATATAGTAGAACCTGATAAATTAGTAAGCTCGATTAAATAATAAAATTTGTCAGTCCCAACTCTAGTAGAATGTGCTGAATTAATCATTTGATAACTTAATATTCCTCTAAGTTAATTATTTAATCAATTCTATTAATTTATCGGGTTCTAGTGTATATATGATTGGTTAAATAATAAATTTTCTCAGTCCCAATACTAGTAGAACGTGCTAAATTAATAATTCCATAATTTAATATTCTGCTTAATTTATATAATTTTGTTGCTCCCAACTGTATTAATATGTGTGTGTGTGTGTGTGTTTTGAATAATTGGTGAATAGGGATTTCGGGAGAGAAGGGATGGACTATGTCTGGTGATATGATCAAGCAGGCGATTTCGGAAACCGAAGAGGGGTTTATTGATTTTGTTCGACAGTCTTTGAAAGAAAATCGCCGGATTGTAAATGTTGGGTCTTGTTGTATGGTCGGAATAATATGGGACGAAACGTTGTACGTTGCTAATTTGGGGAATTCAAAAACAATTCTTGGAAATATCGAGACTCGATCGACTTCGATTAGGCCGTTGAAGCTTGCTTATGATCAACCTCGCAACCCCAAAATCAGACATGTTTGTATTCTATCATCCATCCATGCTTATATTTCACACACACACACACACACACACACACACACACACACACACACACACACACACACACACACACACACACACACACACACACACACACACACACACACACACACACACACACACACACACACACACACAATATTATTGATCATGTGATAATTAAATTAATTAATTCGGTATATACATGATATAGGCATGCAGATGCATGGGCAATGCTTCCGTTAAGTATCCGGAGGAGTTCGATCTCGATAGCGACAACCCTAAAACCGTGGAGATAAATTTAGTACCGACCGAAGACAAATTCGTCATTTTTGCATCCCATGGTCTTTGGGAATTTTTATCCAATGAAGAAGCTGTAAAGATTGTCCAGAATAAACCGAGACGGGTATTTTACATTGTTCGATTAATTACAAATAATTAATAATCATAATAGTAGTAATTATATGTATTTATTATTATTATTTTTTTTTTTGGTTGGGTTTTTTTTGTATTTCAGGGTATAGCCAAGAGACTTATTAAATCAGCAATGAAAGTTGCAGCCAAGAGAAAAAATGTTACCTACAAGGAATTAAAGAGAATGTACTTTGATAGCTCCGATAGAAAAATTCACAATGATATTACAGTTATTGTGGTCTTTTTCAAATACAACAACGCCGAACCACCAAGCTTCCGTTTTTCTCCCGTTGAATACTAAATTCTACGGACAATGTTTGACCATCAAACTCGAAACGTATTGGGTGGAGCAACAAGTTTTTCAAGGCTGATTTTTTTGCTTTCTAGTAGAATTATGAAACATTTATGAACTAATAATTAGCTGTTTTTTTTTTCTGGTTTATATTTTTGAATTTCTTAGAGATAAAGTCGAGCGCTTGAGATATTATTTATTTTTTCAATTATTGAAGAAAATATCGGCTGTCGATCGACGATCGACGCCCTTATTTGACATTAAGCAGATCATATACTAATACTTACATAAAAAATTACAATTAAACGAAAAATTACGATGACTTAAAGCGAGCACTTATATCTTGCGGATAGCTTTGGCATCGTTCGAAATCCCAAACAATCCAGCCCTCGCAAATCCAGCACAATAAAGACCGTTTTCTCCTTTCCAATGATTAGGGTTTCTCTTCTTTGGCATTCCATTTTCTCCAAAAAGCCCTCCATCATCCTACATATAACAAATCAAAAAAATTTGCATTTAATTAAAATGGTTTAGCAACATCGTAAATACGAACAATGAAAGCTAACTTACCTTGAGCCATTTTCCGACAGTGCTCTTGTAGCCGGTGGCAAAAACAATGGCGTCGTTGTGCCACGGGTGGAGATGCAAGGGGGGCGTTGACTCCCGTTGTGACGATGTATTGTACCACTACTTCAGTGGTAGCTCGAGCTGAAACTTCCGTAATCATGTGTTGGAGGGCCTCTTCGGTTATTTGAACCGTTCGAGGAACGGGGAGTGGTGGATCCCGCGTAGGATTTATCTGGACCTCATAAGGTTGATCCTGATTACGAGGAGGAAGTGGCAGGCCAGAGCCTCCATGAAGTGGAAGGTTGTTAGCATTGACACGTTCTCTCCAAGTAGATGACTCAGGGACATCATGCTCGCTACGTGATCTTGTATGTCTTTCCACAGACGGCGCCATTATGATGATACTAAAAATAGATCACCTTAAGTAGTTGAGATCGAGGGAGTTGGGAGAGCGAAGTGGATCACTGCTCACGTGCTAGATGGCCCTGAGATACCTGCAAACAAATGACACCTGAACTAGGCAGGGGGTTGCTCCGGCGGAAACTCCTCCGACGCTCAAGTCAGACGTTCGGATAGTCGGTAATTGTAGAGATAGTTGAGAGAATATGACCCGTAATATTATTCAGATAATAGGGCGTACCTTTAATAAATGAAATAAATCGTTATTTATACATTGTCGATTGGGTCGAGATTAATTTGTTGGGCTCAAACCTTATTTGAAGGTAATTGAGTTTTAGTAATAGTGTTCTTCTAAATTAGGCTCGTGACCCAGTAGGTAGAGAAAATGTAGGCTTATTGGACTGGCCCAATTAGGCATATCACATGGTATAAAGACTTATTAAATCAGCAATGGAAGTTGCAGCAAAGAGAGAAAATGTTACCTACAAGAAAATAAAGACAATGTACAGTGATAGAATTGATAGAAAAATACGACGATATTACAGTTATTGTTGTCTTCTTCAAATACAACAATGGTGAACAACCAAGCTTCCGTTTTTCTCCCGTTGAATACTAAATTCTATGGACAATGATCGACCATCAAACTCGGAACATATTGGGAGGGAGCAATAAGTTTTTCAAAGGCTGATTTCATGATTGGTGTATGATTTTAATTTGCTTTCTAGTAGAATTGTGAAACATTTATGAAATAATAATTAGCTGTTTTCTGGTTTAGATTTTTTAATTTCTTAGAGATAAAAGTCAAGTGCTTGAGATATGTGTTAATTTTGCAAAGAATTGCAAAAAATGAGAAGAAGAAAAAAAGTATATTTCATTTATTATTTATTTTTCAATTATTGAAGAAATAATGATATTTCAAAAAATTATATAATAATATAATACATTTTTTTATATAAGTAAATATTGATATTTCAGATAATAATCCTATCATTTGGAATTTAATCCCTAATTCAAAACACCAATCAACGGATACATTAGGTGTTTAATTTCACATTCAATTAAATCCTTACTTTACTCAAAAAAAAAAAAAAAAATTAAATCCTTACTTAATTATAGGCAAATCAGACTTGAAATAGACTTGGGTGGAGCAAAAAGTTTTTCAAGGCTGATTTATTTGCTTTCTAGTAGAATTATGAAACATTTATGAACTAATAATTAGCTGTTTTTTTTTCTGGTTTATATTTTTGAATTTCTTAGAAATAAAAGTCGAGCGCTTGAGATATTATTTATTTTTTCAATTATTGAAGAAAATATCAGTTGTCGGTCGTCGATCGACGCCCTTATTTCACATTAAACAGATCATATACTATAACACTTACATAAAAATTACAATTAAACGAAAAATTACGATGACTTAAAGCGCGCAATTATATCTTGCGATATAGCTTTGGCATCGTTCGAAATCCCAAACAATCCAGCCCTCGCAAATCCAGCACAATAAAGACCGTTTTCTCCTTTCCAATGATTCGGGTTTCTCTTCTTCGGCATTCCATTTTCCCCAAAAAACCCTCCATCATCCTACATATAACAAATTACAAAATTTGCATTTAATTAAAATGGTTTAGCAACATCGTAAATACGAACGATGAAAGCTAACTTACCTTGAGCCATTTTCCGACAGTGCTCTTGTAGCCGGTCGCAAAAACAATGGCATCGTAACTTTCCGTTTCACCGTTCGTGAAGCTAATATTATCTCCATGCACATTCTTGATTGAGGGCAAAACCTACAAAATTATTACATTAACCAAATATTAGCCCAATATTTCCACGTGTGTACATATGCATGCATGCATGCATGTAAAAAATAAAAAGTTACGTATGCATATATATACATCGATTTCTCGTGCTCGGATTTTGGCAATGGTGCCGACGTCGATAACCGGAGATCTTCCAGTTGCTCTTTTGAGATAAAAGGGTCCTTTGTTTGGCGTTTGGATACCATATTGAGAAAGATTCCCAAATTTCAATTTGCTCAATAGTAGCACAATTTTGTCCACTAAATCTACATTTAGATGCTTCAATAACACCATTCCAAGTTTCACCAGCTCCTCACTAAGAATATGAACCTGAAATAATTTAAAAAAATAATAATAATAAAAAATCAGTGTGCATTTGCTAAATTACGTACTCAATTCGTTCTAAATTAACTGCCGATTCATGAAATTTTTCTTGTTTCCATTTTCTCAATTTCGCCCTTATTACTATTAGTTAATTGAGAGAATTAGTGGAAATAAAATAAAAACAACATGGATATTTTAGTCATTCTATATGGGATTTTTTTTCTTCCTAAAATCGACGCATATTTGTTAGTTTTTTTTAATTTGTGGGTCAACAACCCAAAAAGACATTTATTTTAGGACAAAAGGAGTAATTATTTTCAAAAAAAATTCAAAAATTCAAAAAGAAAAATAGATTTTGGATAAAGCACTTACCGGGCTACGAACAACTACAGAAGTTCGAGCACCCCAATTGGACAAATCGAACGCTATTTCCATACCGGAATTCCCACTTCCAACAACCAACACTTTCTTTTTCTCAAATTTCTTTCCATTTTCGTATTTACTAGAATGCATCACTTCACCGTTAAACGAATCCAAACCCGGGATATTTTGAGGTATGTACCCCTCACTATTCTCCCCCGTGGCCACAACCAAAAACTTGGCCACGTACTTCTCCATCGTGTCCAAAACCTCGTTTTTCGCCATCACAACCCAATTTCGACGGGTGTGATCGAACGAGGCGGATTCCACGGTACGTTCGTAGAAAGGGCTTACGTTGAAATACGAAACATAATCATCCAAGTACCGGATGAAGTCCTTTCTCGGGATGTATGTGGGTGCATTGGAAGGGAAGGGCATATTGGGTAATTCACAAAATTGTTTGGCAAGATGAAGTTTCAATCTATCATAAGCTCTTTTCTTCCAAAGAGAAGCACAACAATCTTCTCTCTCTAAGACAATGTTTGGTATGTTTTTTAGGTTTAGACATGCGGAAGTTGCTAGGCCCGCGGGCCCTGCACCGACGATTAGCACCGTAGTTTCTCTCTCCATTTTCTCTCTCTAAAATGTTTTTTTTTCTTTGTTTTTTTTCGGCTGCGAATGAATGATGATCGATGTTCTAGATTTGCTCTCGCTATTTATAGAAGAAGAAATAGTTGCTAGACTACAAAATTTTGTTAATGTAATCAATAACAAATTATGCAGGGAAAAAAAAAGAAAGAAAATAAATAAATTGCAAGAATAATATGGAATACACTATTATATTATTTGTTGGTCGTAAGCATTTTCTTTTACCTACCTAAAATGAAATAATAATTTTGAATAATCTTTTCACAGATTATTATTTTCACAACAAATTAATATCAATGGTAAGTACAACTGTACGTAATCTGAAATTAAATTAAAAAAAAATGTATACACACACGATATATAGTATGTACGATATATATCCACATTCCTTAAAATTTAAAATAATCTGAATTGATTCCTAGGGACTGGGTGAAATACCAAATATACCCCTTGTTATTACCATATAAAAAATGTGATTGGCACAAAGAATATCTAATTCACCTTCCTAATTATATATTTAGTATTTATCTCTAGGCCACGTAGTTATAATAATCTCTTAACATGGTAGGAAATATTAAGACATACCATATGTGTGTGTCTATATATATTGGATCAATTTTCTCTAACTTTCTAAATACATGCTTATAGTAAGTAGTAGGGAAATTTTATAAAATCTAATTACGAATTTATTATAGGGGCTCTATGATATAACCCCTCAATACTTCTTTTAATAAAGGAAGGTCCAAATTATTTGCACCGTTTGAGAAAAATCTACTCTAAATTCCAGTCACCTATTTTTCCATTTATGTCTCTCCACCTTACACATCCCTATGACCCATCAGCACACTATCTCCATGACCCATAGTCGTGTCTTTCTCTCTTTTTTATTTATTTATTTTTTTTTTTTTTATTATTATTAATTATTTATTATTATTATTTTTTTTAATATTTTTTTTCGTTTTTTAACTTTTTTTCTCTATCAGGTATATTAATCGACCATGAAGCATATTAAATCGACTACGATGAACTATAGTGGATTAAGGAACCGACTACTAAAAATAACAAATCACAACTACAAAAATGCAAACTCAACTATATTTTACAAAAACAAACAATATACAAACATTATAATTGATTTATACAATTGCAATAATTAAACAAAAAATTCAAAAAAAATTAAAACTTGGAGTCAATGAAGCATATTAATGGACTATGATGTGAAACATAGTCGATTAAAAATCTGCTACTAAAAATAACAAATCACAACTGCGAAAAAATGCAAAATCAACTATATATTACAAAAACAAAAAATATACAAACAATATAAATGATTTATACAATTCGAATCAATAAACAAAAAATCCAAAAAAAAATAAAAAAAATTGGAGTCGATGAACCTTAATCGACTACCAGAGGATAGTCGATTAGCTTAATCGACTATGAACATGTACATAGTCGATTACAGTTTCAGCATGCGCGAAATTCTCTACACGCGCCGTCATCCGCCCAATCCACCATAAACCCCTAAATCTGCCTCCCCATCGTCACCACACCGCCGCCACAACACACCATCACCACCTTACTTTAATATTATGGTGATTTTTTTTTATTACAAATAAATAAATAAAATCACAACTTGCTCCACCAACCAAATCAGAACCACCACCCATCAAAATCCGATTCCGGCGACAAATCGACAATTTTACCTCTTTTCGCCGCCGATGTAGCAATCGTGGCATTCGAACTCAGAATCGCTATCAAAATCGTCATCATCTTTATGGCTTTTGTTAAGATCTGCAACGACGACGACCCCGGCGACAACGGCGACGGAGACGGCAACGGCGACGATGGCTTTAACGGAATTGGCATCGTTGTTCTGGCGGTGATGTTCGTGGTTGGTTCTTCATCTTCCGATCAAGAGAGAATAATTTAAAGAATTGAGAGAGAAAAGTATAATAGAGAGGAAAAAAAAACAGAGAAGAGACGGAGAAAAAGAGACGGGAGAGAAGAGAAAATAAGATTAGGGTTTTGAAAAAGTATAGTAGACAATTAAGTGCAGTTTCGGAATTATGAAAATATCATTTGGGTGGAATATTAGCTAAAGGGGTTTTCTCTAATTATTTTATAGGAATGGGTGCTTCCTTAACTTATTTTCCTAGATAGGGGGGTTTTCTCTAATTTTCCCTTTATTATAAGTCTCGTATAAATAGGAGCCCAACCCCGATCCACAATGTCGATCATCATTCATAAGAATTTGTGTCGGGTTCGATCACATCCGTCAAAACTGAGTTGTGATGGTGAAAAATAGCGAGTATAACTCAGATTCCACGTTTGGATTCCTTTAATGGGGAAGTGATGCGTTCGAGTAATTACGAAAATGGAAAGAAATTTAATTCGAGAGAAACGGTGAAACAAAAAGTTACAGGCGCCATAGTTATGAAGAATAAATAATGTAGTTTTGTTAATGGCGTCGTAAATTTTCGTTTCACCGTTTCTCTCAAATTTCTTTAAATTTACGTAACAAATTTACTACTAATAAACAATTTAAACGGTGAAACGAAAAAGTTACGAAACTAATATAAGATGGAGAATGCAATTTGAATTTTGTTATTCTATACGTAGGATGATGAATGGCTTTGTGGTGAAGACGATGGAACACCCAACGAGAGAAATCCAAATCATCGGAAAGGATAAAACGGTCTTTACCGCTCCATTTTGGGAGCTTTGTGCTAAAATAAATGAATCATAGGGAGTTTTTTGCAAATATTAATAACACGGGGACTTTTTAACAATTTAATAAAAACACAAGTTCCAAATGCAAGAAATCAACCAAATTCCACAAAAAGTCTCTGAAGAAAAAAAACACAAACCAACCATTACCCAAATTCAGTCCAAACATACACGAAACAAACGTCTCTCGTTTTATTTACGCAATATATACATACATATATATACATAATATATACATACACAACCGAGTAACTCAGGCTCAGTGAGCCAGGTGGGGTATAGCGGTAGTATTCGATCGGTGGCCCTGGACCCCACAAGCACAGTGGACAGATGTCAAGCTGAGACACCCGCTAATAATAAGCGAGTGGCGATCGGGGCAAGTGTGGAGCGAAGGAAAAGAGTCGCACAGCGCCTGGACAGCTGGCGGCGTAAGGGCGGTGCATTGGCTGATGTTCAGATTGGTCAGGCCTTCCTCCTCTTGGTACCTAGTCTTCTTCACCGGGGCCCACACTCTGTTCTTGGCTCGGCTCTGTGCCAGCGAGTACATTGCCCTGTCGGTTATGTTCTGGCAATAGTAGAGCCCCAGCGATCGGAGGTGGAGGCAGTTGTTTGCTAACGCCACTACACTCTCGTCTGCACGTTTTATTTATTTATTTATTTATTTATTTATTTATTTATCACCACAAAAAGCAAAATCTAATTAGAAAACCTCGAAACACATTCTTGAATTTAAGGGCGATGTAACAACGGGTTTTATTGCATTCGGCACCCCGGTTTTCTCCCATAATTGTTAAACAGAACCCCCCATCGAAATTGAAATATATACGAGATTCCGATTTCCGATCCCATTTTAATTTCCGAAAATAACTCAGAAAAATTCAATTTTTTTCCGAAAATTTCAATTTTTTTCCGAAAAATTCAATTTTTTTTTCCAAAAAATTTAGGTGACTAAAAATTGGAATTTTCAAAATTCCACGAATTCAACTCCGAAAATTTCCGATTTTGGAACGAGCTTTTTTCATTCCAATACCCAAAATTCCGATTTCCGGGTTTTTCGGATCTTTATTTGTAACGAAATTGAAACTAGTTTTTCACTTCCGAAAAAAATTGAAACTTTCCAAAAGTGCTTATTCCAATCCATCTATTTTCACCCCTACTCAAATAATAACAAGAAACATCGATAATTCACCTGTAATAAGAACACATCCACACAAATCGAGAGCTCTAAGATCAGGGCAGCCATAGGCTAAGCTCTTCACACCTTCGTCGCCTATCCGATCACACCATCCAAGATTCAAGTACTGCATTTCATTACAGTTGTACCCAATCGCCTGCGTAAAAAAAACAAATAGCAGCAATTTTACAAGAACTATATCTACGTCACGAAACCTCAAACTACGTTAACGAGTTATTTTACTACCTTTAACGCCCTATCGGTTGCTGCCTTAACACAGCCGCACAGATTCAAGAATTTCAATTTCCTGCAGAAGCCGGTTAAATAACCGACAGCCGAGTCGCTAAACGCAGAGCATCCACTAATATTGAGCTTTACGAGATTCGGGCAGCCTCGTGCTAGCGCGTATAAGGAGCTATCGGTCAGCCTAAAACTCTTGCTCAAATCCAATTCTTGAAGCTCGCGACAGTGGCTTGCGATTTTCTCGACGGCTTCGTCTTGCAGTTGCGGCGTGTCTTGCCTTAGGATTAGAACTTGGAGTTTCGTGAACTTCGGAGTTAGTGAGAGAACCAGGTTATTCATGTTCTTCTTGCACCTGAAAAAACCGAAAATCTTCGATATCAATCGGAACAAGATTGCACGAATCACACACATCCAAATCAAAAAACAACTTTTTTTTTTAAATATATATACACACACATATATATATATGTATATACCAATAGAAGGAAAGGTGGGTAAGGCCCCAAGAAATGGCATCTCTCCATCCATGGCAAACACCAGAAGCAACCACCACCGTCTGATCATCAGCCAGAGAAAGAATCCTAAGCAAAAGCTCCGCCGGAATATCCTTCCACTCACTTATACTCAGCCCTCCACCGCCAATTTCACCACCACCACCATAACTTTGATTCATGTTCTGAACAGCACCAAATCCAAACACCTCCTCAAAAATTAAGTCCAAACCCTCTGTTCCTCCCATTTTCCTCACAGTAGAAAAAATCCCAAAATAAAGCTGCTGATTTTTATATTCCTGATAATTAATTTAATAACCCAAAAAAAAACAATACAGAAATGAGATAAACTCGGAAATTTGTAATAAGTGAATGCGAGAAGGTACTGAAGAATTCAACAGTTTGTCTTATTCAGAGTGTCAGGTTTCTTCTACACAATTCAATTCAATCTCTCTCTCTCTCTCTCTCTGTGTGAAATTAATTACAAAGAACTGATCTTTATCCTATTCTTTCAGTCACGAAAAAAAATATTAAAAAGGGCCTCCATTTTTATTGATGTATTTCGCGAAAACCGATTGATCACAGAAAAAGATGATCATAGGGCACACAAGATATGTTGTGTGTGTGTGTGAGAGAGAGAGAGAGATAGAGAGAGAAAGCAAAGACGTTTGTACCTGGTAATTAAGGAGACGAGTCAGAAGAAATGAGGCGTTTACCTTTGTCTAGGCTTCTTCAGTACCGAGCAGTCTCATTTTAAGAGAGAGAGAGAGAGAGAGAGATGAGAGAGAGAATTGGGCGCCGATACAAAGCCACGTGTCACGTGAACAGAAGATGTGTGACAGAATGCAAACTACTAATCTTTTGTTTGGAGACTAATTTTAATTAAAATTAAGGACAAATTACGGTTGCATGGCCAAATTACGAAAAAAAAAATCTTATTATTAGTCATTCATTTTTTTAAATGTTTTTACATAAAAGTTATGTGACTCGGTTATTTACTGAACTAAATCGTATATTCAATTCGGTAAACGATATAAATTGTTGGCGTACCGAAATTTTGATTCGGTTTTACGATTTAATATCCTTAAATTTATCTTTATAGGGGTATTTTTGTAAGATGATACATAGTTGAGAGGTGATGACTGTAATTACTCAAACATGAGGGAGTTTTTGTAATTTGACCATAATTCAGGGGTGAAATTGCCCTAAAATTAAAAATTCCGCCCTCTTAATTTCGTGATTAATTAGTATTAGAAGAAGTCTAGAAGTACAAATCTCAACACAATCGTAGTATGTAGTCAAAGTGCATCGTTATGTGGGACTATCATTTATCACTATTAAATTTATATTATTAAATAGTTAAACATTTACAAATAGTGGCTCACTTGGATTTAATTAATTAAATCAAATTTAATTAGCCCAAGTCCATATTAATTTGATGAATAATATAACTACTTCTGAGCCTTGATATATTCCTTATTATTTTTCTTTAATCACATTCTTGAAGTTCTTTCGGAATATTTCACTCAAATCGAGTTGACTTGAATCTTCGGAGTGTTTTCATCGGGACTGAGTATTACAATCATGTTTAAAGACTATTGTGAATGTTAAATTAAGGGACACAACATAAATAACATTTAGTATTAGATTTTAATAATTGTAATTTGCAATACCAAATCCAATCGACTCATTCAATAATTTATTATATAAGGGTAAATTACAAACACCCCCTGAGGTATGGTCAAATTACAAAAATCCCCCTCTTGTTTGGATAATTACATCTACCCACTCAACTATGATTTTTTATTAGACCTCCACCTCTATGGTGCCAAATTCAACATAGTCATCTAGATTCCGTGAAATGTGATCTAGTTTGTACTCTTTTTGTGTAAAAAATACAGTTTTCGATGCACCACAAACTGATATATACAAGCTAAAAATCACATATTATGATCATCTTGCTTCATAATGTAGAGTTTGAATGGGATAAAACGGGTACAAAAGTGATAATATTCCATATAATCTCGAAGATTCCACTAAATTTGATGAGTTGAGGGGGGTGGTTGTAATTATTCAAACAAGAGGGGTGTTTTTGTAATTTGACCATACCACAGGGGGTGTTTGTAATTTACCCTATAATAAAACACCAAACACTATCTTAGTCGAGGGAATTACCGAAATTGCCCTCAGTACCATTTCAAAGAAAGACATTATTTCATAATCATATCCTTTAAATTAAAAGGAAAATGATCAAATTAAAGTGACATGAGTGGGGCTCCAAAAGTATGTTATTTTATGAATTTGATGTGATGGAGAATTTGCAATGTGACAAAGATAGGTGAAATAAATAGGGAAAAAAAACAAAAAAAAATAGATGAATAATTGATTTATGTCTATTCAAAATAATAGTAATTTTGTACGCAATTGACAAAAAAAGAATGGTGGAGGATAAAGTCCAGAAAGTTCCAATTATTTTTTTTGTGAAAAAACGTAGCCGTGTGTGTGTGTCATAACTAGTGGGAATCATTTACTCTATTTTTGCAGGTCAATAATTTGGATTTTTGTTCTACTTCCGAAAAAAAAAAGTCGAAAATTTTCCGAAAGTATACTAATTTTCGATGGCAGAAAAAATGAAGTGTATAATAGGGATTAAAAGAAGATCTACCACGGGATATGTTGGTCGGAGATGTAGAGGAGGAAGTTGCCCGTTTATAAGACAAGGGCTATTATAGTAATTACGTAAAGATGATAAAATTGGAGCCAGTTATAAGCTATGGGCACTGACTTTGTGAGGGATGGAACATTGTTGAATATTGACAATGAAAAACAAATTGAATTACAAGTTACAAAGAGTATCTTAATTTAGAATAAAACATAAATAAAATTATTAAAAGGAAGCTTCAACTACTTATAGTTATGGCAATATTTTATGCGTGCACTTCTAAAATTGTATACTTGACAATTTTGCTTCTAAATTCTTCTTTCCTTTCCAACTTCTTTTGTCTTTTTTCTTTTTTTTTTCTTTTTTTTAATAATAATAATCTTGATATTTGGGGTTTATTTGCGGTTCAATCGGTCAGATCGGCCGGTCGTTCTGTGTTTTAAAAGATTGAAAAAAACTACTGTGACGCTACTTTAATTAATATAATCATTTATTAATTTTTGAGCAGCTTATTTTTTGAATTTCTAAAAAATATCAAAAAAGTTACCAAACACTATAAAAGAGTTTATAATCTCTTAAATATCGTATAAGCTCTTTTTAACAGCTTATAAGTTTAGCTAATCAGTAAAGTTGTGTTAGCTAGTTTGTCATCTACGGATAGATTAATTAATTAGACCATTATAATTAATGTATTTGAAGTTTGTTAGACTCCATTAATCCATATATGAAAATGATACTCAATTCACCCTTTACTCAAAGTTGACTCCATACATATAATTAATATATATATATATATATATATATATATATATATATATATATATATATATATATATATCAAATTAATGCATTTGCGTAAAGGATAATGTATTGATAGTGTAGTAACTAGTATGACACATATAAATTAATTTTTATTTTTTTTTATGATTATATATTGGACTATTTTCTTGGAACTTTTGCTTATCTTTTCACTCTTTTAGTACATGAATTTTATCGTCTATTTTCCACTAAAAGAAAACACTTTTTCTTGACCAATTACATCAGAATTCACATACTTTCTACATGCAGATTGGAATCTAGGCCTAGTTCTAGTCCAGATGCATTCTTGTTCCAAAATAAAATTAATTAGCATAATTTGATCCTATTAGTAATGGGGATTATATTCCGACAAGTGTTGATAATATGGGATTAGTTTACAATTATTGGTCAGGGGAATATGCCACGGATTCCTGGATTTTGTTTGCATATTATTTAATTTGAATTTGTGGAGACAATAAACCGAAAAAGGGACACAAAAAAAAAAAATTTAAAAATTAAAAGATAATTTATTATAATCTTTGAACCTCTTTTATAGTTAGTAAATTACCCATTTGGGTTGTTTCCAACCGAGCCACGTCATCTACTTACCCCACTATTCTCTAGTGAATCTGACGAAGTGGTTCGCTGAAGAATAAGAAAGCGTATCGAATATAATCACTCATTTAATAGCCTCGATAACCAAGTGATTATCCCCAACACGCCTCCATCATTTCGACATCCTTCTCGAATGTCGTGCCACGATGTTCCCTAAATCTTTCTCCCAATGCTTTTAAAATCGGCGGCTTAGATTTGAGCCACTTTTTCGGACCCGCATGAAGTGTGAGCGTTCCACGTGTCAGCATCGTATTCATGCTCTTCTTCTCGCACGGGCTCGGTATAATAAAAATGTGTTCCTCATTGTGCCATTACGTTCGTTTATAGAGAGGATCTTTATATATGGACCTTGATTGCATGATCCCCGATCATGATTTGTCACTCGTCTTCGTCTATTTTTGGAGACTATCCTCAAATCTGACTTCTCAATGGCTCTAAATCAGTCGCTCACCTATACCACACCTTTTTATCCTTCTGGTCAAGGGCGGACCTAGGGGCATTTTGGTAGAGGACTAAAATATGGGTGTGAATTAAGAGAAGAAAAAAAATATTTTTTTCTTGGCTAAAATGTACAAAAATTTAAATCTTGGGGGGCAAAGTCTATTAATTAATAGATAAATACCAAAAAAAATTAACAAAAAACTGATTAAAAAAAAAAAAAAAAGAGAAAAAATTGCTGGGGCGGAAGCCCCCAAGCCTACACATGGGTCCGTCCCTGCTTCTGGTACTCTTCCCCAACTTGCGGGGTTCGAGTGAGGGCCGGGCCCTTTTCTTCGAATAACCTCTGGGCCCCTATTTAATACTCCTTGGGCCTCCGAGCCTAGTGCTTCTGCCCAGCGAACTTGCTTCCGTCAATCTGAAGCCCAAATCTAAGAGTTCGGCCCAAGATCCACCGATTCGGTCCAAACTGAGTCCGATTTTTCACTCAAATAACCTCGTTTACATTCTCAATCAATGTTAGGATCAAACAACAACAAAAAAAATTCTAATAACAATTGTACAACCCGTTTTATTTCGATACACTCATCTCCATTTGTACAGTTCAACACAGTTGATCCATTCACAACGTAACATACAGAAAGAAAGCTTCCGACAAAGCTGTCAACACCGTAAAAATCTCCGGAAAAAGAACAAACATAACAATAACTACATAGGACGAATGTTTTTAAATTAAAACGTTTTTCGCATGCATGCACAAACCTCGTTCAAGTGAGAAACTTCTCCAACAAACCTCCGAAGAAGAAGCTATTTTTGCCCCATCCGTTTGCGTCGAGCGCTTTGGCTGCATTAGTAGGGGCCTTTTTGACATTTAGCATCATCGTGTGCCCTATTTCTTTGCGTAATTCTTCGATAGTCTTTGCATCCACCGATTTTCCCGAAGCGTCGCTGACGTAGAATACGTTCATGGCTTGCTCCCCGACAGTTGTCACCCCGGCTCTTGTGACCGACAGCCCGTTTTCTCGAAGAACTCGTGTCACTTCTGAGAGAAGTCCTACTCGATCCTTTGCGCATAGCTCCAGGCTCAGACCCTGTCGAATACGATATTCAAACTCGGAACTTAGATCCGTAATGTTTTTTTCTGCTCAAAATAAGTATTACGTTTGTTATGCTTTTCAAGAAAAAAAAATTCCAAATTAATTTCAGAAGTTTCTTTCTCACACATAATTTGACAAAAAAAAAATTAATTAATTTCCTCCCAATGTATAAATAAACATTAATTTCAATCTTGAAATTTTTTGAGTTTTTTTGCATTTAGAACCCTTGTGTTATACCGAATTGCTAAAAAACCCTCGTATTATAAATATTAGCAAAAGACTCCTACGATGCAATTTTTTTACGCTACTGCCTAAATGATGCATTTTTAGGGGTAATTTGCTAAAAAACTTGAATCATAGGGAGGATTTTGCTAATACATATAACACGGGGTGTTTTTTGACAATTAGAGTAAACACAAGGGTGCTAAGTGCAATAAACTCCCAAATTTTCCTCCACTCCCAAAATAGAACGAAAATAAGCCTCGAAACACTTCGAAAATTGAAACTAACATCATGCGAACTAGGTGTGCCTATTTCGAGATATTAATCAATTAACCAAAAAAAAAAAAAAAAAAAAAGAACTTAGTGAAGTAGATTATTTCGATTTACCTCACTAATTCTTCGTCTAATCGCTGCTTCGAGGCACTTAACAACCTTTTCTTTCTCCCCTTCCGTGTCCAAAGTGAATCCATCAATGTGACGTACATAGTATTCCTACAAAATCGAAAGATCCACAAACCGCAATTACATCAGAAAAATAAATTACGTATAACAATTCATGCGTGCGTTCGAGTATGTGTGTGTGAGAGAGAGAAAGAGAAGACACACACACACACCTGTGAGGCATACGGTCCTTCAGAAGAAACGCTCGCATGAAAAACAACGTACTGCATATCCGTAAGCGTGCACACGATATCGAACATGAGCTTCGGCCTATCCCTACACCTCACATTCACCACAAAGTAATCCTTCTCCTCGCACCGTTCGATCGTGACCTTCGGTTTGATCGGACAGTCCGCCTCACCGTCATTCCCCGCCACGTAAGCGCCCTCGTAGTCCCTGTCAGCAAACAAGAGCTGGTGGAGCCTCCTGTCCACATGCGTGGATCCCACGGAGAAACTCGTACGCCCCAGTACACTATCATCGTCGTCACTACCGCCGCCGATGCGGAGTATGTTCTTAAGCTGGTCCTGCATAGCGGACAATCGGGACTCGTCCTCCACCGCACGATTGGTGATGTCATCGTTCACGTAGAGAACGCACGCGATTCGTCGATTGTGCGTCCAGACCTCGGCTGCAACGACGTTGATTTGGAGATTCGCCAGCACAGCAGAAATCTCGGATAATAGTCCAGGTCGGTCCCTACCTATCAACTCTATAGCAGTGTAGTCTCCCATAGAATTGACCCCGACTTTTTTCCCGGGCCAAGTTTTTAATATGCCCGATGTGTTTCCCTTCGGTCCTAAAGCCTATACAATCGAGACTTTGATTTATCGAGATTTCATTAAAAAAAATAAAGAATTTTATTTAATTAGGAAAAAAAAAGGGTACCCTTTCGATGTGTTCGATGGTTCTGGTGTCGGTAATCTTTTGCCCTTGTTGATCGGTGACATGGAATACTGTCGAGAAAGAATAAAGACGACAATAATGAGTGTTTGCTTATCTTCCTGCATGAACATAACTAGAGTATAATAATAAAGGGGTTTATTGCACTCAACACCCTTGTGTTTAGTGTAATTGCTAAAAAATCCCAATTTCATAAATATTAGCAACAAAAAACCCCGTGATGCAATTTTTTTTATAGCAAAACTACCCCTAAAAACTCACCATTTAGAGCTAAAAAAATGCATCATAGGGGGGTTTTCGCAAGTATTTATAATATGGGGAGTTCTTTTAGCAATTATGATATAACACAGGGGTACTAAATGCAATAAGCTCCGATAATGTATGTTTATCAATACAGTGAACAGGGTTTATTATTTATAATTCCGAAGTCGTGACTGGACATTCAAATTATACAGTTCAATAAATGATTTTCAAACATGACGTCCGATCGAAATCGGGATATCCAGTATCCGAATAGCTTTAATTAGAAGAAAAATAATGCATATATATATATATATATATATATATACCATCCATAAACCAGCCCCCGTCGGAAGAAATGTAGGCTTTGGTAATGATGAGATCTAAGTCGGTTAGGATTTGAACCACCTCGAGCAGTATACCTGGCTTGTTCATGCTGTCAACCTAATTATTACTCATGCAAAAAACATTTTACCGACGATTAGGTAATAATTTTGAATAAAATAACCTAAAAATCTGAGTATTAAAGCAACCCGAATCAAGATGCAAAATAAGATTTGAGAAGTCAAACATATATACCTTGACCAGAGTACACTCCTTGCAGCTAGAGTTGTCCACCGAAACCCTGAAACAAGTGAAAACGAGGCAAAATTAAGCAGCCAAAAAAACCCGAATCAAATTTAAATATTTCTTCTGTTATGTTAAAAACAACTTGCGTAACAAGATAACGGAATACGAAAGACTAGACATTTTGCATTATGTATCGAATCGTAAAATAAGGGCAGAGATTTGAAACTGAACTGTGGAGGGTTCATTCGTATGCTCAACGTTTCATACTCGGGATCAAAGTACGCCCACGAACCCATTTTTTTTTTTATAATTTCCCTGCATCACAAAGCGAGACGAGCATTAATTACCGAAAAGCACGTCACATCACATTCAAGAAACAATTTTTTCGAGTTTCAATAATTTAAGCTATTGACATTATTAATTGCTACAATCGAAGAATAACGAGATCTCGACTACTACCTTGGATGAGGAATTAGTTGTACAGAACTTCGGAGCGATAAATATTAGTTTATTTCCCACCAAGTGCAGCACATTTTATTCGAGATCACCTTTACATTGTGACAAGTACATCTAACTGCAGGTAAGATGATTAACAATAAATAGTTAATACAATCCCCAAAAATCTACCGAAATTAGGTATTAAACTTCTCGAAAAATATCTAACAGAGCATAATTAAGACATATTAATTTATCATTTTTTTTTTTTTTTGCAAAATGGGCTCAATCTAGTGAAAGGGTGCAACAATTAAATGTTGAAATAATTTAATTTTAAAGACAAGAGAGATTTGAAGATGCTGGTATGTTCTAGGTTTTGTGAATCCAAACAAAATCAAGAAAATTAAAGAGCTAATTAATTACTAGTGCAGCTTTTATCCCAACAGAGCAGTTTTTTTTTTAATTACAAGAATATAGTTGCTATATGGCTTGTGAATTTTTGTAAGGATGGTTTTTAACCCTATCAACCCCACCCCACCCCAACCCGCCACCGCCACCGCCACCGCATAAAAATCCAGTCTTTAAGCTTATCTATAAATTTTTTTTACCTCAATTAAATTCGCAAAATAAGTGAAATCGACAGAGAAGAAACAGGGAATTTGCTACCAAAATCAATTAAATTGATGGGTCGAGAAATTACCTTGACTCTCTCTCTCTCTCTCTCTCTCTCTCTCTCTCTCTCTCTCTCTCTCTCTCTCTCACACACACACACACACACGGAGAAAAGGGGAGAGAGGATAATTCGCTTATTACCTTGTTTGAGAATCGGAAGAGCTCACATTATTTTGCAGTTGACACTTGACAGTTGGCTTCACATATATAAATATGACGTATTAACTGAATTTGTCTCAAATTTGATGAGAAAATTATTAAAAACATAAATAAAAATAAGAACTTTCGACGTTGGAAGAGCACTACCCCCCACCACTTACTCACTCTCTCGCTGTTTGATTCTTTCTCTCTCTACAACACTGGGTTAGAGAGAGAAGAGATAGAGAGAGAGAGAGAGAGAGAGATGGAATCTGTAATCTTGGGTTTTTTTTATATTTAAAAGAAAAAGGGTGGAGAAGAGAAGGGCAGTGGGTGCATGGATGAGTGATGGGAGGCGAGTGTGGGCAACGCGCTTCAGCGATTAGGGAAGCGTGCCATTTAAATAAGACGAGATTAGCAGTAATTAATTACTGTGTCGGGACAAAGTACAGCTAATACTAATTCAATACTGTATTAAGATAATGACGCGGCGACTTAACAGTGGATTCCTACATAGCAACTTCCCTGCCTATCTCACGCTCCACGTAGCGCGTGTCTGATACGTTCGGCTCTTCGCTTTGACTCTACTTTAAGGATAATTGGCACTTTGCACCCTGAAATTACATGTCTCTGACACTTTGCACCCATAAATTAAAAAAAGATAGTAGAATGCACCCTTCAATGATAACCTAATGGGATCTTCCTTGTATTTAGCTCGAGCTTCGACAAGTTTATGTTGTCTACATACAACGCGTCGTAACAGAGAAAATCAACAATGGGTATCATCGTGTAACCGAAGATAGTATAGTACAAAGAAGACCAATTTCCTAGGTTGTGGTAGACTGAGGCGTCGTTGGCATAAGGCTCAGAGAGAGTTTTTTTTGGTGGGACGATGAAATTGCGGAAATTAGCACCTTTTGTGAATAAGATTTTGCCATTGCTTGAAGCTTCATTTCGGCGAGATTTGGCGGGAAACTAGTGGTGTGGAGTTTGCTGGTGTGGGGTCGTCGGTTACACTTTTAGCCGAAAGTTGACTAAGATCCACTTTACCAAGTAAATTATAATTAGAGAGTGCATTATACTATTTTTTTATTTATTTAAGGATGCAAAGTGCTAATGGCATATAATTTGTGGGTGAAAAGTGGCAATTACCCCAACTTTGAGAGAAATACATTATGACCCCCACAAAAATTTTGGACATATTGATTTTGGTCCAATCTATTTGAAGTCTTAATTTTATTGTTTCGTATACAATCATCTAAATAATTACGTGCAAAATTCCATTATTTGATAGCAAATAATAATTTAGGTACACCAATATTGGAACCTATATACCCATGATTGATTATATTGTTTATCTTATTGTTATTTTCTGCCACATTGGTTAATTAATCAAACCTCTAATCAAGTATGATATATGATAGCGAACCATGATTGGAATCAA